TATACAGGGTGACTGGAACTGAACCCGCCATAGCTAATATGCGTATAGAGGAGGTCATTTGCTAATTATTGAACCTTAATTTCTATGGCTAAAGTTTTATAGTTTAGGAGATATATCAATTTTTATACTTTTTTCAGATTTTACCGGAGATCATTGGCAATCCATTATCACCATTAGCTTTTTTTTTAATCGAATTCGAACTTTAATATTTTATCGTGGTTTGTACTTTTGTTGAACTTTGGCGGCTCGTGGCTAGTTATTCAATCATTATCTGGATCTGAAATTTATTTTATTTAACTAAAGGTTTATTCGATATTATTATCAAATAAAAAAATCGGTTCAAATCATGCGAGAAAAAAAATTAAGCAGTTTTTAGGTAAAATTTCGGAAAAATTTGAAAAAAGTATAAAAATTGATATATCTCCTAAACTATAGAAAGTAAGGTTCAATAATTAGCAAATGACCTCCTCTATACGCGTATTAGCTATGGCGGGTTCAGTTCCAGTCACCCTGTATAGTCAAGGAGATGGCATAATTGCACCGCTGCAGATGTTTTTAAACGGCCTTGTGTACATTCCAGCTGGGCGAGGTAGACTGCTGGGAGCCGGAGTGCGAGGAGGCGGGCGCGTGCTGCGACGCGGGCGCGGGGAGCGCGGGGGACGCGGGGGACGCGGCGTGGCGCGCGCCGCACCGCCTCGAGCTCGCGGGCTGCGCGCCGCCGCACTGCCCCGCCTGCCAGGTACACCGCAAGCGCGCGCATACACACAGAAAACTTTTCAATACACTGAGAGAGGCTACTCATACCCTAAACTGATGGTAAACCTTTCTTAGGGCTAATTTATTACGTGAGACAATTTTGGCAATTTTTCAATCCCCCCGCCCCCCTTGGTGAGATTTGGTGAGATTTTTCCAGACCCCCTCCCCCTCCCCACAATCTCACGTGAGATTTCTTAAAATACATATTTGCATGTAAATGTAAATCTGTGCTTCGATTAGGATTTAATATTAAAAATTTAAAAAAAAATTACGTGATACCCCTCTCCCCTGCGTGAGATTTAGTGAGGTTTTTCTTGACACCCCTCCCCCCCTAATCGTCTCACGTAATTAATGGACGCCCCCTAACTTTTAACAGAAGAATAAAATTGACATTTTGGCTTATTTCCCATATCAATGAGCCAAACTTATTTTTCAGTTAAAAGTTATCCGGCGATTGAAAAATCAGCTCTTAATCGAATTGTAACTTTCTACTCAAGACCGTGATCGCTCCGACAAATAGGTAAACGATAAGTGAGATTACTTAATCGTTTCCACCCTGTATAAACTGATGACTATATCGATTATCAAATCAAAATCTATAAGAAACGCTACTATGCTAGTGATATATTACGTAAATCATAATTTAACGAAGGAGGCATCAAACGACATCCAGCTGTTTACGTTTGGAACAACTATGGAACAAGAAACGATAACTGTTTCAAATGCAAACACTAGGACTTAGATCTGCATTCTACATTGAAATGTGTATCACTCAACTGGTGTCTCTTTGCAGCTGTACCTACTTCACAAATACTAAATAAAATATGTTACATAATACAAAAACGTCACACTAATAAACCCATGATCATCTAACAAAATGTCAATTAACAAAGCTCAATACATACCTGTTATAAGTTTCAAATGCTTGTCGCAGTTATGGTTTCACATTTGACTAACTTTGCAAGTGCGCTCATGGCTCGTAATCCGCTTACTGAATGCTATTTTTCTCAATAGTCTCCTTTCTAATCGAAGGCTTCAGAGGCTATTATAAAAATAGTATTGCCCCTTGAAAGTGTTAACTCGCTATCAGCTTAGGCCATCTAATGTGAGCCGCTTATCCATGGGTCCTCGTGTGAAGCATCGTTTCCGCTTGTTGCAGGGCGGGCAGTGTGCTACTTTGGTGAGCAATCTCGCGTGTTGTGTGCATCGGTAACCATCCCCACTCTTCTTATTCATTCATACATTGCTGTATTAACACGTTTTTATTTCAATGCTTAAGCCTCTTATTCAATATTTTTGATGCATTAATATGCTTACCACTACCACGTTGGGCGCCAAAGTTAATATTGGCGCCCAACATGGTGGATGGTTTTATTGAATTCGAGGCTATTCCATGTCAGATATCATTTTATGTTGCATGTTTCCTCATTTTTATGTTCATCAAGCATGACTTACTTTTCAATTGATATACCTACATTCAGAAATATCAGATGACGCATGGAATGAACAATCAAATTGAAAACATATTCGTTCCTAATCATTAAAACATTTTTTGTTATTTTTAATCACTTCAATCCATTAGATAAATAGTGGTAGTGTATAGTATCCACTACGTAATCACTATTATGTAGTTTTGAAAACTAGAATCTAGTCAACCCTAGAAGTAGATTCTGAAATACCTATATTGTAATTACTAAAGTGTATTTATTATGTAGAGCCCTGCTATAATGTCAGCTAATTAAGATCCCAATTGAAAGTGTAACTTTCATTGAATACAATTCAATTAAAAAGCGTTGTTCTGAGAAAACGTGTATTTATCGTAGGTTTATATGTTTTTATAGCTTAATATGCCTGATAGTTGTGCGTCATTAGGTTAGGTAGGAAATATTACCTTTTTTGTTATTCAGAGTCTGTTTTGATCCGATTCACTTCATGATTGTAGTCAATAGCATTTATTTTGGCATGTGATCTGATGTACTTATTGTAAATAATGTAGATAGACATACGAAACAGACTCTCAGTAATGGGAAACAGAATGAACAGTTCCGAATGGAATACCTCAGCCGCGCTAACACGGTTAAAGTTCACTCAAAGGCCACTTTGACTTTTCGGTGATTTTAATCGCGACAACATTAAACAAATCGCACAGTTCGTTTGCCGTCAGGAAACTAGAGAACTATCTACCTAGAGATAAATCAATCTGTAATATGTTGTATTTTCCACTAAAAACTTTCTACGTAATCGAATACGGACTGCCAGCAGCAGGTTTAAGGCCTATTCAGACCTAAGCGGTATTCGCTACCATCTGCGGCAGAGAAAACCCAGTGGGTATGCGGTAATAATACTGTTCAGACCTAAGCGGTATTGCCGCGGTACTTGATACTAAATACCTGAGCGAAACCCGCGCGGTATGTACCTCTACCCACAGCGGCAGCGAATATCGCTCAGGTCGCTCTAGCCGCGATACTTGATACTAAATAACTGAGCGAAACCCGCGCGGTATGTACCTCTACCCACAGCGGCAGCGAATATCGCTCAGGTTTGAACAGGCCTTTAGTTTTCTCTGGTGTCGCGACGGCAGTGCGGCAGTGCGGCTTGTGTGCGTGTGTGCGTGTGCTAGCTGGTACATGGCGCGGTTGGTCCGTAGAGCGCGGGCGTGGCGGGCGCGCGCGCTGGCGACGGCGCTGGCGCTGGCGGCGCTGTGGTGGGGCGGCGGGCGCGGCGCGCACCGCAAGCACCGCGGCGCGCGGCCCTAGAGCCGCCCTGAGCGCGCGACGAACACCTCTATTTATTCTAGATAGACCTAATGTTAACCAATTGCGGCGGGCGCGCGACCACTCGACGGCCTTACTTAGCGAGCGCCCGCCCGGGATCGCATGTGATACTGTAATATACGGGAGCGGTCGCGTACGTTCGAGTATTTCGTTATAGCAATATTATAGTGTTTACGCGTAGTTAGGATTGTGTACCGGAGTGCCGCGAGTCGGAGCGGGCTGCGCTCGCGCGCTCGCCGACGGCGCCGACGAGTCTCGGCGTCGAACGCCACTGAGTGAATTTCGGTTCCGATTTCGCGCGACATTCGTTAATTCTAAACTACGATTACTAGTCTAGAATTAGGAGTACGAGTTGACCTCACGAGCAGTGATCGTTAGATTTAACTAGATAGATTGAAAAACGCACACAAATGTCACGGGAAATCAGAACCATCGCGCGTCTGGCCCGACGCGACCGAAAATGATATCGATTGATTTTTACGAGTGTCATTATGGCCTAATGTCTTGTGTGAATGAAGCGCGCCGCGTCGGGCCCGACGCTCCGCAGCGGACCGCAATCCGCCGGCGCCCTCGCAACACGCCGCGTTTGCGTCGCCCTTTATTATCTACGAATTCTAAATTTAACAGTCGTCGATCGCTTTAAAATTATAATATTAGACTCGTAACTGAAGTATTTAGCTATTGTTGTGAATATAAGTAACGTATAGTGTCGCTAGCGCGCGGCGGGCGGGCGCGGGCGCGGCGGCGGCGGCGGGCGGCGCGGCGGCGGCGGCTGTTCAATTATAACATTACGTAATATTTTAATTAGCCTTAGTCCTGTACATGAGTAGCGTAGTGCGGCCGCCGCGGACCGCCCGTGCGCTTGCGCCCTGTTGTACGAAATTTTTCATAATATATTATAGTTTTTGTTTGTCTTTATATAGAGATCGTTTTCTTGTATAATTTTGAAAATAACCAAAAATAGGTACCAAATATAGAAAAGATATGATTGTTTCTTAATTTTCATAAAGCATTTTGATGCTTGCATGTTGTATTGTGTTCAAAAAATTACAATTAAAAAGATATCCTCAATGTGTTGTTTCAGTCCATTTTCCCCAAACACTCTCTACATTAAAAAAATTACTATGTAACAACAATATTTATTTCATAATATAACATTAATTTATGAATTTTACGAATTGTATCGGTCACATACGCATCAAGAATTAAATTAGATCATCACATTTACAATTTGTAATAACTTAAATAGCTTACAAGAGACGGAGGATGGGCGTGTTGAAGATTCATAATCTTTAAACGCGGTGATAGAGGACAACAGCTACCAAGCGTTGAGTTAGGCCCAGAACAGACGGTGAAACAACTGCAACTGGTAGTTACTTTTGAGTTGCATCTAAGTTTCTGCCATAGCGTCCGTTGAGAAACCACACATGACGCGACCAGTTTGAAACTTTCAGTTTCAGTTTCATTCATCAGAATCATCACAAAGTTTCGTTGCAGTTGCGTTTCACCGTCTGTTCTGGGCCTTAGAGTTCACAAAGGCGTTGTCAAATATCGCTGAGCGTAGAATATTTTTGAAAGCTGTGCACCTCACCGTCACCGCGTGTAAAGGCGCGCTCACATGGGCGGCGCGAACACGTGGGCGGCAGCGGGCGCGGCGGCGAGGCACGCGCCGGGCGTCAGGCACGCGATGCGCAGCGGCTGCGGCTTGTGCCGCGGCTCGCGCTCCACCACGCTGCACACCACTGCGTACGCGGTCGTGAACAGAGTCACGCCCTGAGGAGAGAACAAAATCAAGAAATAGCTAAGCTATTAGTGAGGTGACACACTGGCGGATTTCAAGCGTTTGCGCAACGTTTCCGCCTAGAGTTCTCGCCTCGTGTTCGCCTTGGAGTCCGCTTTGGAACGGCTTGTAATCTGCCAGTGTAGCAAGGCCCTTATGAGTAGACTCCACCAACGCAGCTTCAGCGGGCCAGTGGCGAGTGCGACCACAATAACTGGTAGAAATCAGTCTTTGTCCACGTGGGAATGTGTCTGATTGAAAATGTGTCCCGTTGAAATTGTGTCCCGTTGGAACTAAATCGATGATAGATGATAGCGTCATAGTAAGACTTGGCCCTTATTTCAAAGTTTATGTAGTTAATTAGATGCCAATGTAAAATTGCGTAGGTAACTCATAAATCTTCATTGTCAAAATGTGCCTTATAAATAGTTTAATGTGCCTTATAAATAGTTTTGCTATTTTTATGACAGAAAAAATCTCCAACCTCTTCTTAATTAATATTATTTTATTCAAACTTTTCACATAAAAGTGATGTGCAGTGGCGGACTTAATGCCGGGTGAAATTCTTTACCAGTCAACCACAGAACATAATATGGATATTCAGTAACCATACCAAAACCATGATGATGGCAGAAGCCAGGGCAGACAGCGCGTTGACATAGCTACGGAGCTCGATAAGTGCGGGTCTAAGGCAGCCCGTCACATGCAAGGGAACATTACACTGATCTCCACGCTGAAAAAAATAATTTGTAAATTAGAATACATAGCCATATTACTGGTACTATGTGACAGACCCTATGGATGGCACGCATTGGAAAATGTTTTTAAAGATTACAAAAAAAAAAAAGTTTTAAAAACCGTTGGGCGCCAAAGTCAATTATTATTATTGGCACACAAATTAGTGACGTTTAAATGTTCAACCTGATGAGCCTGAACTTTCACTATCAATAAAAAGAAGTAACACGGGAAAAAGGTCTACCTTTCCATTCCATACGCGGCCGCAGCAGGACGGGGGCAGCGCCCGGCGGTGCTGGTACCAATCAGTGTACGACACCACTCCGCAGCATCTCAACTGCATAAAAAATATAGAAATAATAATTTGTAAAACTCTTCATTGTCCATTAGCAACTGAATCTTTTTTTGCTTTATGTCTCAGACGAGACTACTCAGACGCCAATACCATCGAAACTTCTCGTGGTAGCTACCAATTCCGCCAAAACAAATGGGCATCAACTGGCAAATTATATGAAGTCCTTACCTCCATCTGCATAGCCGCGAAGGAGCTCTTCACAGCGGGGTCGTGTGCGTCTCTCGACATAGCCCGCAGCATGCTGGAGTTGAGTGCCGCCGGCTCACGCACTGCGCGCGACAGCCCCGCTACAGACGACAGCCCCAGTGAGAGCATAAGCATCGCCACCGTCACCAGGGTCATCAGCTGGGGGAAAAGACTTTATGCACTGAATAGAAAAAGTAAAAAAAAAAAAACAATTTAAGGCCATGATTTCCCAAATTGTCGATATTTGACCGATTTTATTTGCAGATAGCTTCTAAATGAAAAGATATTTTAGCAAACAAAAAATTGTACGAGTAAGTTAATGTCTTTAACTAGGGCGACAACTTTTCCAAAACACGATATTGCATAGTTTGTCCGATAAAAAAAAATCCCAAAGAAGTACGTCGACGGCTTTTTTGTTTTACTCTCATATATTCATTTTTAACATTTTACACTTAAAATATACAACGTGTCCCAAAATTCAAGGATAAGCCGGCGCCGCAGGGTGAACATAGTCATGACTAATTTAGGAAAAATAAGAAAAAAAATCTATCTCAATTATTTTTTAAGTTACACAATAAATTATGAAATTCGTCGAAAATTGACACCCCTTATGATATTTTACATTACCACGACTACAATTTTTTAAATACTTCTGTTTTTTTGTTTGTATCGGCAACTTAATTAGTGCTGCTGTCCACCCTAATTCTTAAAACCCTCAGAATCCTTGCAGTTTTTACACAAAAGTTAATCAAAATATGATATTTCCTTAAATTTTTGAACGATTTTTACGTTCACTCCACTTTGACTCGTCGTTTTGTAAAAAAACAGTATGAACACTACTGCGGCAAGTTTTTTATAAAGTTGACGCAACTATCCAAGATTCCAAAATGGTATAATACTCTAAGAAAACTAGTCGCAATAAANGGCCCTGTACCCCAGCCTTATCCCGTGCCCTATCCATGTCCCAACATATTCCCGTGTCCCAACGTATTCCCGAGTCCCAACGTAATCCCGTTTCCCGACGTTTATCCGAGTCCCAGCGTAATCCCGGTTCCCGACGTTTACCCGAGTCCCAGCGTAAACCCGGTTCATGGCGTTTACCCGAGTCCCAGCGTAAACCCGGTTCANACAGTCTTTAAAATATACAAATTATAGTCATAAGTATTGATGCAAGCTAGGTAGTTAAACATTCCAAACATTTTTATTTTTTACTAGCTTTCCGCCCGCGGCTTCGCCCGCGTGGAATTTTGTCTGTCACAGAAAAACAATATCGCGCGCGTATTTACTCAGCGTTTAGACCTACCCTGGACTACGACAAACATTTTAAAACCAAAATCAGCTCAATCGGCCCAGCCGTTCTCGAGTTATAATCAGACTAACGAACATCAATTCATTTTTATTTATATAGATATAATCATCAACTTTATAGTAGCCCTTTTTCATTATGGTGCTCGTCATGTTCCATACCAGATATCTCATTTTAAAATTAACATCTATTAGTTAAAAATAATTCAATCCCGAACATCGAAGGAAAATTGTATTCACAAAGCAGAACACAGTTAATGAAATTATTAATAGTCCATTACATTTGTATTGAAAATAACAGAATCGGTTTTACTCGTACTAATCGTCGGATAAGATTGGCAGTCATCAAGCATCGCATGCGCAGGCTTTAAAGCCTGTCACATAAATCATTTGTCCTGTCCTGACTGACTGACTTGTCAACACACGGACAAGACTAAAGAGTCTAACATACAGGTTTGTTTTATAAAATGAGTATAAAATTATTAATTAGAATACTACCAACTACTCGCTAGGTGTCAATCATTTTTTTAACGCAACACGTGCTAAGAACGTAACTAATAGTTACCCAATAATGTATAAAAAAAATAACAGCCTATTGCCTCCACGTGCATTAAAAAAACTAACCAACAAAATGTCTACCACGTCACGTCACTCATGCGCACCGGTCAACGACCTGCCACTGTCGCTTTCGGCGCTAACCATCGCCGCATCTAGGCAAGGCTGCATAACGGGCATTCCTGCATACTCATCAATGTATAAAAATACAAGACGAGCGTTGAGGCTAACCCGTTGTATTTCATCATTTAGCACAAGCTCATTATTTAGAAATTCGTTTCCCGAGGGTTTCAACTTCACTTCACTAATTTTAATAATGGATACTATTCAGGAGTGGTGAAATATTTGTAATTAACTATGTTATCTCACTAAATATTACAATAATAATATGAAGAAAAAACAAGTAATTTCTAAAAAAAAACTTAGCAAAACATGTGACAGCAAAAGACAGTTTACGGGACTATTCCCACCTCTCGTTCCCACCACTGCAACTCCTGTGTAGCCAGGATCTACAGCTTGACCGCCACAAAAACCCAACCAATGAAGGTCAAGTCTGTCCCGGGGGAAAGTTAAACTGTCATTGGACCCGCAACGAAATTAATCAAAAGACAGTTTCCAAAAAATAAAGTAAACAAATAATAAAGCTCTTATCAAAGCTATATGTATGTATAGGAGTGTATGTATGTGTATCGGACATGCACCCTACCACACCTACCAATTAGTGACGGTGTAGACTGTACAGCAATAGCAGTATGTATTCATTGAAAAAGGCTCTAATACAGTATCCATTTGAGATCCAGTTCAGCGCTCTACAACTACCAACCTCGCAAACACGTCAATGTACAACGAACTACTGTAAAACTTCCGACGCATGCTGAGTGCGCACACGCATGGTAACAACGCTGGCATTGGCGGTGATAAGGAAGCGCATGCGGGTTTAGGCTTTGGCCTTAAACTACAAGTTCGTGATAAGGTGAAGGTTTGTTATGGTGGCACAAGGTGTTTTATTTTTAGCTACCGCAATAGGTTTAACTGTACTAGTTAAAATCTTTAATTAACTTTGCCCACATTAATTGTTGCACCACCTAACTTTAACCGTAAATATAACGATAACCGGTGCTTTTTTATGGAGTTTGACAGATAATTGACGTTTGTCATAGTTAAAGTAAAAAACAAAAATGATACGATGTTTCACTATGAAGACTTTTTAGATAAATCTTTATCTTTTTCGTTTATTCAACTTTATAGTTTCATTCATTTGGTTGTATTGTGTCATAATGATGTTTATTTTTTTTACCTTAAACTACCCTACACTCATTTGTCATCAGCATCAGTCAGATGAAGAAGTCTGGCGACTGTTCATCATTAATTTATTAGTGGTCGCGGTCCGCAGTGATGCCTCGGTTCGGTTCCCGGAAGAGCCATCAATTTCGGCCGCTTACCCGCACTTAAACACTCCTTAGCATTTCATAAGCGGTTTTCACTCGGGTCGCGTGCGCGCGCGTCGTTTTTGCGCGAGTTGCGCCCGCTTCCTGCGTTATGCAAGAGAAACCGCGGGTAATCGCTAGTCGGGAACGCGGCGCTCTCGCGAGTTTATGTAAGAATTAGAACTAGTGGAGTTTGGGTATAATCGAGCGGCACGAAAGAATATAAGATAAGGTAAACCTGATTTAGTATATGAATCGCTCTATTAATTTCAATTTCAGTACACATTCACGAGAAATTGTAACACAAAAATGTGCTACTACAAGTCGTGTATTTAATTTTATGTAATTACATGTAAATCGGAATCGATACCACGTACCTACTAACAAGGTTTACCTTTTCGTTAGTGCGTTTCCGGTACATGTAGGCAGGTAGGGAAAATATGCATTATATTTTACGACAAAATAAATAGATATAAAACAATGTTTTCCTAGACAATTACATAGTAAAATATGTCAGATACTAAAAGCCATATCCTTGTGACTACATTTTTATACTCTGTGTTACTCTGTAATCAAAGAACTCAACTGGGTACCTACCATGAGTTTACGTTAGGTGTGCTCGCTAGCGAGTACGTCAAAAATCTCTATGAAGGTTTTGTTTCTTGAAAGTAGCCGCTAGGAGCGCTGCACAATATGTCATACAATTAATGTCATTTTTTTACGTAGTCGCTAGCGAGCACACCTAACGTAAATTCATGGTAAGCACACTGTATTCAAGTTTGTGCCGCTCGCGAGAAATAAAAAAACAAGAACAATCTTCAATTATAACCGCCATTTTCTTGTTCATTCAAACAATTTCGGGCCCTAGCTAAGGCGCTTCTCTTAAAATAGTTTTAATTTAGAGCCTGCCTCATTCTTAATTGAAAAATTATATATCCAAGGCGCCTTTAATTAAAGTCTTCGAAGCCTGCACGACATATAAATATGTATGCCGTAGATATTTTTGATCTTACGCATGTAATTAAAATTACGCTCGTTAGAGACTGAAAGTAATTTGGGAAAGTTGGATTAGCTCGTAAATTGATACGGTTTATTGCGTGAGATGATTTTGCTGTTTTGGCAAAGAAATTGTGTTTTGGCTGTTACCAAATTGGAGTTATGGTAAATTGTTCGCATCACAGTGTAAAAGATCGGTAAACTGGTGGAAAAATAATGCGGTGTGTTTAGCGCAACTTCGACCGACAGTCCGATAACATTCACGATATTAATAGACGACTGACACCAGTTTTTTGACTTGTGTCTTCCCAAAAGAAACCGTTTTAAGACTATACTAGACTGTAATGTCATATTATACTTACTAGAGATATTCCGACCGAGTATATCGTCGCTACATGTGACATTCGTTAATACGCGATCTCTACTCAAGAACACGTTTGCTTTACACCGGTTATCGGCGCTGTACAGTAAGTACCATAAGATCGGATCAAAAAATTATAATATATCGAAGATTTGGTTTACTCAAGATCCTCTAAGAGCCTATATCATAAAGACTAAGGCTGGTTTTAGAGTCACGCTGACGCACGCTGACCGTCAGCGCTGACAGCCGAAATGTATGAAGCGTCGGCGCCGAGCGATCAGCGTCACTCAGGAACGTTCCCTTCAATTACAATACATATTGATCTGTCAGCGCCGACGATCAGCGAGCGGTCAGCGCGATTCTAAAACCCACCCAGCCATTCTACGAATACAGGATTTCCCCAAGTACCAACAAGACCGGTACCAATCAAACTCATCTTATTATAACACACGAGCCTCAAACGACGCCTGCGCAAAGTTGGTACCATTAGACAAACAAACTGCGTCCCATTCACTCCGCGGCTGTCAGACAGGGACGGGCGATCGAGTTAGCGAACTGGTTTCGCGTCACCTTGAACTCTGCGAGATGACCATGGTACTTGAACTAATGGTTTTTAAGTATTGAAAAGAGGTTGAGTATCATGATAGGGTACAACACAAAGTATGGCAATTATCTTAACAAACTATGTGACCCGGATTCGCACTTCTTTTGGGTGTCATGTAGGCTAATTTAACGTGACAGGTACCTTCCAAAATCAAAGCAAGAAATCATCTTTTTCTCAGACAGTTGAAATTTTTGAAACNACTATTCCAAATTCCCCAAGTAAAATTCATGGATTATTGTCAAAATGTGTCAATTAACTATTATCTATCCCATATACAATACAAATAAACAAAGATAAATAAAACAAATCGAAATAAAACCAAAATTATGCTGGTACTACTTATGCTAATTTATTTTAAAATTGGTCATATATGTGAACTTCAAACTCGTGTCATATAAATTCTAGTGAACGAAACATATTCCGAATTTAGATCATGAGAAACTTAAATAAATGCATTATTTGTTTCATAACTTACATTTAAATTATTATAAATAATTATTTAAAAACCAAGCATCAAAATGTTATCCATAATATCCTTGAATCGGTAGTGTCACGAAATAGGGGACACCCGAAAAATAATATGTACGCTATTTCGTGAGTCAATTAATCGCCATTTTAAAGGAATTCTACGTTTTCATAGAACTTTTTTCTAAGCCAAATCAATTGTCAAGGAACACATGAAACCACTATTACAAGTTTTATTTAAATGGACGTTCCTTCGCCTTTTTATAAGCTTAAGAAGTTGGAGCGCTAACCTTACGGTGAGAGCAACCTTTGCAAGCCGCACGGCTGTTTTTGGCTCTCTGAGAGTTTGAAGCTTCGTATTGCTCTCATTTTTGGCGCCACAATGTTGGTACTTGTTTTTTTAGATAGCTTAAATAATAGAGATTTTGTAGTAATGAAGAATTTTTATAAATAATATTCCATTTGCTTATTATTTGAGCTAGAAAAAAATCTTACGAACATACGTACTATCACGAACTAGTAGCCGTTTACCTTAAAGTAAACCGTCATCCAACTTACGGTTTGTTTTTACACTGTGGCGTCAACGCGTCGCGCGAGTGTCAGCGCGAGTGTCAGTGCGAGGTGTGCGGGGGCTGTGGTAAACAAATGCACGGCATCGAGGCGGTAAATCCTAGCCTTAACTATGGTCACAAAAAAGATAATAATATTGTCAAGTATAGTGTGCGAAAAAAACTGTAATCCATTAAAGCATACCCCGGCGTGCCTCGGCCGACACAGATTTTCAGTATTAGCACAGAATAAGTAATAGTACAGGTACAGAAGGATTACTCCGCAAGACGATTTAAATAAATGCGAGTCTTGCTACGACGCGATACAGTGGAATTCAGCTCGCACAGCACTACGTACCTACAATTTTATTCACCTACAAGTTTTGTCTCTTTCTATCGCGTGCCTCTGAACTCTTCTTACGCTGTTAGGGTTGCTGTCTAGTGAAAAAAGAATTAATCTATTTATTTGTAATTAGGTACGTATGTAGGTAAGTATGCATTCATTATGGAAAACCTTGGGAGAGGTCTTTGTCCAGCAGTGGACGTCATTTGGCTGAAACGAACGAACGCATTCTGAGCAGTAGTCATGGTAGGTTAGGTTCCTATACTATCCTAAGAATTATTGATTACCTACATGGCCAACATACCTTTCAGCATCTTTGGGAAGCGAAAAAAAAAGATAAATCCGGTCGATTTCTTTTCGAATTTAAACACCCGAACGTCGCACAATATTTCTTTCTCTTTATGTCCATTTTTAAATAATACTTCGATCATAGAATTATAATCATACTTTAACGCACGCCAGCGTCCTAACGGGCGAGCGCGTGACACTCGACTGATATAATACCCGCCGGCGGGGCGCTTCGCTGTAGGTAATTATCGGATGTACCGCGCGGAGTGAGCCAGGCCTGGTATTAGCTGGTAAAGTTAAAAAGCAAATAAAACTTACGTTGTCTATGCCGAGAAATGTAGATTACGTTACGATCTAACGTTACTTCATAGCTATAAGTATTTCTACCGTTTCGAGGTTTTAAATCGTTCGTATCAACCTAGACCTACCGTGGCCATGAGCGTGAGCCCCTTAGGGTGGTAGGGCACGATGGTGCAGAGCCAGCACGCGGGCAGGCACAGCAGTGCCCCCACCACGAACAGCACGCTAGACCCCAGCTCCACGCCCAGGTCAGTCGTCCAGAAGTAGTAAGAGATGCGCAGCAGGCTCCATGCTGTCGACCCGCCCAGGATCGCCCCACCACTCTGAAAGAAAATAACTATTTAAAATTTAACTCTTGTGACTTCTTATTAGTAGCCGGTAGAGTACAATAGGACCACCCCCAATCTTTCCATCGATGTCAAGAAATGCGCCGGACATCAGCCTACCCGTTTAGCCAGCCTTAGGAACTGAGGAGTGTAGAACAAACCCTAATTCTATTTGCAGACTTGCAGTGAAGAATAAGTAAACCTGATGAACAGATGATGATGATAATGAACCTAGGCAAAACGGTTGCTTTATCAACTCCTAAGTCTCAATTTTAAAGCGCTCTACACACCGAAGTCATCAGAATGCCTTCTTCAATACCTAAATGTTTATTATCTACTTCTACTGTCGTCATATTTTTATCAAACAAGACTTACGAGCAACAGCCCCGCACACGTAAACAATACTAAGCCACTGCTTCTCATTTTCACAAACCTAAACGTAAGTTAACAATTTTTGTATTAATTTAAATTATTTTAGATTAGCAGTCTTTCTGACACTGACAGACACTTTTGCAAAATTTGAAAACCGACAAGATTTGCCAGAGGATGCCAGAAATAGAGGTTTCCAAAAAGTTTGTTTTGCAGGCAATATTTATGTGCAAAATAATTGTTTTTCTATTCTCTGAGGCCCTTTTCACACGTCCCGGTTTCACAAGTGTATGGGCATGGTACGTAGCTTTCACATGTTCCGGCGTAATTAATCCGGCATTTCCTGAAGTCAGAGGCTTTCAAGGTACGAGATAAACATGTTCTGCATCATCATAGATTGCAAGTGTATTCTTTGGGTTTGTTTGTGATCAAAAGCCAACTTACTCGTACCTATTCAATGTTAAAAATATAAAAAAATAACAGTATTTTTTAAAGAAGCAAGTAAATCACTCATTCAGTGCATGTTCAGTGCCATACCTATTTAAATAAATTTAGAAAATGAGGCTTGCCACCACCCCCGTGGCATATAATATACCTACGTAGGTAAGTAGCGTTTGGTCCATTAGGAAAAGTTATAAGGAAATGTAGCCAATTACAAAGAAAAGCTTGAAATGGACGAAACCCATATCAAATTGCACCAACATGTAATTTACAATATTCATTTTAAACTACAGACTGTAAATAAGCAGTGAGCACTTATGATTAAGATTTCATGGATTTCATGCTTTCAAAGTAAAGGTTTTAAGCCTAGTCTTATTTATACTTTACGCATTGTTTATGTAATTACAGGTACAGCTGTGTTAACGGAGATTAATTAATTAAGTGTTATTTTTTAAATTTAGGAAGAGAAACGGTTTGCACTGATAGAAAAGTTCATCACTTCATAAATAAGTAGGTAGGTAGGTTTAATATGGCCGAGTATAATGAATACCTATATGTAGTATGTCATCATCATCATCATCAGCAGCCCTTTACAGTCCACTGCTGGACTATGAGCCTCCTTCACTATAGTAGAGGGTTTTGCCATAATCCCCTTGGCATGCGGGTTGGAGATCGCAGTTTAAAAGATTTATGTTTGACGATCTGGTGAAGGTCGCGGGAAGTACCTGGACGCAAGCGGCGCAGGACCGGTCTTTGTGGAAATCCTTGGGGGAGGCCTTTGTCCAGCAGTGGACGTCTTTCGGCTGAAACGAACGAACGAACGATGTTTGTCAGAGAGCGCTGCTGCCCGTTCTCTGTTTGATGTGTAGTCCCTAAGCCTAAGTCTGTTTGATATGTAGTATGTATTACCTAATTATACGAGTTCAAAAAAGAGGTAAAGATTGTGAGGTTGTATGGGGTAATTGTGGATCTAAACTGATTTTTGAAATTCTTTTACCAATAGAAAGCCACATTATACGTAACTGTCGTGTGTTTTTCTATAAAATCATTTAGTATTTTATTATGTCATAATTTTGTTTTTCATACAGAAAGTGCAAATAATAAACACATTTGTGTCCACTGCCCTATTATTGTGTTAAATTACTATGTTATTACTTATTTATTGAAATTATCGAAAACAACCCACTTAGCGAGTATTTCTAATGTAACAAGTATTAAGGAATAAGTATGAAATGAGAGAAAAGCCATACCTAATTGTTACCAACACGGAATTTACATTTTTCATTAAATTTACAAACCGTGTCTAAGTGGTCGGTCAGTATTTACGATTAAGATAATTTCATGCTACTAAAGTAAGAATTCAGTGGGTATTTATTTGGAAATACTCTAACCTTAAACATAAATTACCTACTTGGTTAAACCACTAGAGATCATGCGGGTCATATTTTTGACTTTCATGGTTTTTGTAATTTCTAATTTCGGCCTTGTTTACGGGGATGTAGTTTGGAATTTCGGTAGAGAAACTCGGGACAGCTATGTCATTGGACGCGAAGTTGGACAAATAAATTTTTTTGAAAAGACCAAACGGATTCCCTTGAACGTAAGAAAATTAATGACAGGCATGTTTGAGTTATCGCTTGGGGACTAACGTAGCTATTATAAAGGCCTATTCAGACCTAAGCGGTATTCGCTACCGTCTGCGGCAGAGAAAACCCAGTGGGTATGCGGTAATAATACTGTTCAGACCTAAGCGGTATTCGCTACCGTCTACCTATGTACCTCTACCCACAGCGGCAGTGAATATCGCTCAGGTTTGAATAGGCCTTTATGTATCTGATATCACCACTGCCAATTCCAGAGAGGGTATGGTGTTTCTACGATGGAGGCTAAATAATCTGATATTGTTGATATTTAATATTCAACGATTCTTGTACTTCCTGTCGTTCCACCACCTTCAATATTTACGTAATACGCGATGAGAACATTGTTTTATCTCGAGAATTTTTCATGTTTTCCTATTTTCCATAAAAAAAATTTAGATACCGCCTTGCCATGAAGTGACGGCGGTGCGAGTGGCGGTGGACAACGACGTGTCGACGCCCACCGTGACGTACGCCAGAGACACCCTCACCGTCACCGTCGCCTACACCCTGCTGCAGGTCAGCAGCTCCACCTTCGACGTCGCCACCAAGGGCCGCCAGATCCCCGGCTGCACGGCGCACCAACAATTAAGCCAACCTGTGTTTTGGGACGACTATTAAAATATCTCATTTTTGTTAAATTTGGTAGCGTTTGGAGTTTGTGTATTGTTTGCAAAAATATAAAAATACCTACATCGCTATTGCATGGAGTTTTGAAATACTTTTTAGACTGCAAGGTTAGTTCAACAAAACCAGTTTGATTTTTTTCATGTACCTATAACAAGCGTATTTGACCGCAATCGCACCTAGTGAGATATAGACCGTCGTGATTTATTGAATTTATTTAATCAAAAAACCTTTAGTTAGTGTCTCATTATATTTCTTTTTCGAACAATCAAATTGCAAGATAGCCAAAAATACCTATGTCCTATATTGATCCTATGCATCAGTGAGAATTGACTCTATCATAAGAGTTTAAAGATTTAGGGCAGCTTCGTTAGCTATTTACGGATATTATATTGCGGATATTATCTATATTCGTCGTCTACTTGAAAAGTTTTCACTGTAATGATTACTATAATAAGTATACGTTACGTTAGGCAAAATCTGGATTAAACGTTTACTCTATTACACGGTTTGCAAATAACGTTAAATCATCACTTGAACCAAATGAATAACATGATTATTTCATTCGCATTACAAATGACCCAAATAATCGCAAGTTATTTGTATTCTGCATTAAATATAGACCTATATAAGTCAATAAGCGAGGTTGCAAATGCAGATTGAAAAGCAATCTTGAGAGTGCAGCAACAATCTGTATCAACCATGCGTGCTCCCATACCCTTGCTTCTACTGGCGCTGCCACTGGCATATGGAAAGATTGTATATGAGTATGGAAACAAGGACAGTATAGGTCAACCTTTATCATATTTCCAAGGTGAAATGGGAGCCCTCGAGAAAATTCGAGTTGTAAACTTGAAAGTAAGTAAAAAAATATAACTGTCCCTTTTATAGTTAGCTAATAAGAACTTAACTCTTCAAATCAATGCAAGTTTTGCAGAAAGCCAATACTTATGTAGTAAAGTATATTAAAATTGTTAGTTATAAATATATGTCATATATTTTATTTATTATTTATTACACTACTAGCGGGCGCCCGCGACTTCGTACGCGTGGATCTCGTTTTACCCCCCCTTCATCTATCTTACGCGGTTCAGATTTTTTCATACAAATGTTTTTTCCCGCTAACTCCCGTTCCCGTGGGAATTTTGCAATATCCTGTTGTAACTAAGCTTTAGCCAAATTTCAAGCGTCTAACTTAAGCGGTTTAGATTTTTCATACAAAAGGATTTTCCCGCTGATTCCCGTTCCCGTGGGAATTCCTAAGTATCCTATAACCTGCCCAGGAGTATGAAGAATAATTGTACCAAGTTTCGTTAAAATCCGTCAAGTAGTTTTTGTTTCTATAAGGAACATACAGACAGACAGACAGACAGACAGACAGACAGACAGACAGACAAAAATTTTACTGATTGCATTTTTGGCATCAGTATCGATCACTAATCACCCCCTGATAGTTATTTTGAAAATATATTTCATGTACAGAATTGACCTCTCTACAGATTTATTATAAGTATAGAAGATAGAAGATAACTATAGATATTCAGCCGTTACATCTTTGATTATACTCGTAGTGGTGTCTTAAATCCTCTTGAGGTTTGTCCACACTATTGTTATCTAGACAAATAGGTAGAATAAAAGTTTTAGTAAGTATTCTTATTCTCTTTACAATTTCAGGTGCCCCAATGCCATCAAGTAACGTACGTGCTAGTCGAAGTCGAAAATGACCGATCGGTGCCAACTATTAAATATGAACCAATCACAGAATCTGTAGTGATTGTATACCACTTGGTTTCCAACAGCCGCTCCGCATATGAAATTTGGGTTAAGAGTGCTCACTTGTATGGCTGTGACGTCCCACCACCCCCATCATCGCAAGATGGCGTTTATCCTAAAGGGGATACTGGGTATGACAACAGCGCTGAGGTTGTTGCGACTCCGGTACGCAGAAGTTACGGAAGTAAATATGTACTTCCTCAAGGATCATATGATCCTTAAGTCTCACGCCGCGCCGTATTTTCCAAACTTAAAAACAAGAAATTGGAGCATAGCTGTTAGTTAACCAGCATTTTGAATTGTGATCAAGGTTCAATGAACCCAGGAAACCTGAAGATTTTTCACAACCTCATTTGGAACCGTACTATGCAGAAGAATATTCGAATAAACAGTTGCTCTACAAAATATGTGTTTAAATAAACTTCAATAAATATCTTAATATAGATAACATCATCTTCTCAGCATCAGCCGATATACTCGTATTGTCTTGAAGTGGTGGTAGGGTAAGCTATATTGGGACTTAGGAATATTGAGTACCTCGAAAAAGGCCTTACATAGTTATAATATTAATTACGCCTATGCGTCCCCCAATGACTTCCACATCGCACGGTTGGTAGCGGCCTGCATCCAACGCCTTCCTGCTACCTTTATCAGGTCATCGGTCCACCTTGTGGGATGTCCTACGCTGCGTTTCCCGGTACGTGGCTTCCACTCTAGAACCTTGCTGCCCCATCGGCCGTCAGTTCTGCGTACTATGCGCCCTGCGCCCATTGCCACTTCAGCTTACTAATCCGTCGGACTATGTCAGTGACTTTAGTTCGTTTACGGATCTCCTTATTTCTGATTTATGTTTCTTAAAGAAACACCGAGCATAGCCCTTTCCATAGCACGCAGTGCAACTTTGAGCTTCTTTATGAGGCTGTGGCGTTCGGATTTCTGAACGCATCACTGACACAAGCTGTCAAAATTGACGGAACGGGACTACACATTTTCCCGCTCACTCGGAGCTACTTTTGGTCGTTCCACGAACTATTATAATGGCACATATAAGTTAATCATACCGTATGCTGTTTGTGATACATGCAATGTTTACGCTGATTACCAAACTGTGTTTAGAGTGATATTTTGTGTTGTGTACAACGATAACCGATTACACATCGTCTCAATGCTAACCGGTGTTTCATTTGGCTTGGGGGAACGCCACCGCATGAAACCCCAAAAGGCCTATCTATAGGGCAGACATCGCAAATGCGCATATACCTACCGCGAACTCTGAAATTTATAAAATCACCAGAAACAGTGTAATCAATTTAAAAACCAAGCCTCTAAAACACCCTTTTCATAACCATCATATTAATGATATTGAAAATCTCTAGTAATAATTCCCAGAATCTCTAGTACAGCATTGTTGTGTTCCGGCAGTTAGAGGCTATCTTAATAGCCAGTTCCTCCGTGGTTGAGGGTGAAGCTCCTTCCACCTTCGGCCTGATCATCACTTACCAACAGGTGAGATACAGGCCAAGAGCTTCCTCGTTGTGAATAAAAAAAAAACAACTCTTATCTAAAGAGTTTAAAGATTTATGACAGCTTTTTATCATAACTAGTTATATTGAATAGTTTTCCATAATTACATAGTAGATACATACGCACAATTAGTATAAACTGGAACTAACATAACTCTATTACACGGTTTTGCAAATAAGGTTAAAATCATTACCTGAACCAAAAGCATAACAATAATTTTTAATTCGCATCACGAATAGCACAATGAACTGCAATTTATTTGTATTCTGCATTAAATGTACTTCTATATAAGTCAATGAGCAAGTTTTGAAATTCAGATTCATAGGAATTCTAAAGAGTGCAGCAACAATCTGTATCAACCATGCGTGCTCCCATACCCCTGCTTCTACTTGCGCTGCCACTGGCATATGGATCGATTGTATTTGAGTTTGGAAACAAGGATGACCCTCATAGTAAACCTATAGGAAATATCCATGGTGAAATTGGATCCTTAGAAAAAGTCCGAGTAGAAAAATTGGAAGTAAGTGATTAAAAGTTACATTTTTAAGTTCTTCAATGTAGGTTTTACAAAAATGAATGTCAGTAAGTATGTGTATTGTTAATTACTGATATCAAATTCTTAATAATCTTATTCTCTTTACAATTTCAGGTGCCGCGATGCTATAAAGTGCAGTATGTGCAAGTTGTAGTCGAAAATAAGCGGTCAATCCCGACTGTTGAATATGACGAAGTAAAAAAATATGTATGGATTGTATACCACCTGATTTCAGACAGCCGCTCCAGTTATGAGATTATCGTTAAGGGAGTTCGCTTGCTTGGATGCGACGTCTTGCCACCGGTAGTGCACAAAGATCACAATTATCCTAGTTGTTCAAGTGACTCCGGTTCGCAGACATTACCAAGGTAGTTATGATCCTTACAACGCCTCACGCCGTGTTTTCCATACTCGGAACCAAGAAAAGCCTGGAGTATTAGCTGTTGGTGGATCAGATTCTTCTGAAAGCTCTGATTCTTAATTATTTTTGAATTTGGATCAACATTGGATAAACCAAGGGAACCTGAAGAATTTTAACAACCCCATTTGGAATTTAACTTTGCAGAAAGTAGTTCATATTCTATTAAAACCGTTGCTCTACAAAATAATTATGTGTTTGAATATTTCATATAGAACAAGTCTAATACGAGTACACCTTCTTCTAAGCACCAGCCGAAATGTTATCTCGAAGTGGTGGTAGTAGGGCAGGCTATATCGGGTCGTGTATAAGTTCCCTAAGGCATACATGCCTACAAATTAAAAATAAAGCATCTTTCTCAACAGATTATAATAAACTATATTGTTAGATTACATAAGAATTAACGTTTTATTAAACGTATTAATTATTGCCTTCTTAGTCAAATTAGCACAAATAAACCTAACGGAACCAAATAATAAAAGGCATGTATTTAAATGATCTTTTTAAATTAGCAAAAACGGCAAATAAAAAAATCTAAATGGTCATCTATTTTAATGATTGATCCTCTTTCTTTGAGACATAAAATAAATAAAATCGATCGATATTTTAACCTCTTTTGAACTACGCAAAAAATTATTGAGATGTAAAAATTATATCTGATCGTTACTTGTTGGTCCTCAAAAATAAAAGAAATGAGCACCAAATATTCAATATTGTGATACTTTTTTAAATAATTCGATTTTTATAAATTATTTTTTGTCTATATCAAATAATCTTCAAAATAATTATGTTATGGTACTTATTTTTATTAAGTTGTAGTCAAAGGATGGAAACTATTTAAAGGCACTTGATGTTCAAAAAATTTTTTTAAAGGTTAAAAAAGCATACCTACTTAACACGTTCACACTGCGTTATCGGGTCGAATTGACCTTAGGTGCTGGATGCGTTGGTGCGGAATGGATATATTCGGTCTTTTCAGTAGTACGAAATATAAATATAGTTTTGCAATTGTTTCGTCAAACACAGTAAATATTTGGAAAAATAAAACTTATCAGGTCCTTACGACCCGATGTCGCACTAAAAGTAAAAAAAAAAGATCCTCATCCACATTTTTTGTACTAATTATTTTTCACAATTTTTTGGCAACAAATCACTTAAGTTTAAGCCGGCTCTCCAGTCCATGTTTAGCCTTACACAATCAACAAAAATATGACATTATTTAACATTTTTTCTAGAAAATTTTGTTGAATATTGATATGTTATGTCGTGTAGGACAAAATACGCGCTGGAGTGGCTTTAACTTGCAATGTAGTTTTTTTTATTTCTTATCATTTAACATAAATTCTAGCAAAATATCCATTTAAACCGCTTTATCAACAAAAATAATCTTAAAAAATTCATATGAAGATAAAATAAACATAAATTTTAATAACATTAGAAATTAAAAAAATATATATCAAAAACAGACTTTAAATTGCTATTTTGAGGTCTTCGGGGCATTGTATCTATAACAGTATAATATGTTTTTTTATTACAATAAAATTCTCATTAAAACGTAATGAAAATCAGTGACCAAGGTACATCGCTAGTTGGGTGGTCAAGGTACAACATTGCGACTACTTCACTTAATAAGCATAATAAACCCACTTCCATTTGAGCTTAGGATCTGAAACTCATATCGTCCAGTAGCTAGATATATAAAGATTATGTTCTAACTATAACCGTTTTGTCAAACATGCAACATTTTTTATAAATTGACATTAAGTAAACCTCCAAAAACTCACTGCGTCAGTGTAAAATATTAAATTACCATTTTTTCTTGTACTTGCACGGCGTCGGCGAATCTTAGCTAACTTCACGTTAATGTTGACAAATAACGTATGTAATACCCTAGACAACTTTTCATAAAACCGCATAATTTAAAAAATATTTACAATTGTTTTAGGTACAACTCTGTCCAAGGTTCAACAGGTTCCCCTACATACCTACTCAACTTTTGCAATCCTATAGATATACTTATTGCTATAACCACAAAACCCTGATCGGTCAATGATGTGGCTAATTCTAAAGCCAGAGCAGCGCAAGGAACTTAGTAATTTTTTTCTTCAAAATTTTAGAAAATTATGATCTTATTTTTGTAATTACAGACAGTTTTGATTCAACACAAAATATATCTAAAGAAGGATTCATCCAAATCAATGGCACACTTAATTCAATTAAAAAATAATAATCTGATGTGATCATTCGTTCTTGTTATTTTCCTTGTTCTTTTTGTTATTCTATTCTGAGATTTTTCGTGAGTTTACTTTTCTTCTAGAATTGATACTTACAAGAAAATTCTATTCTCATTTACATTATGTACTTACATAAGTATATCAGCGATTTACGTCAAAACAAACATGGACTGATGGAACTATCGGCTTTATTATGGTAATGGAGATAAATCAAAGTTGATTTACAGTTCTAGATTTAATAATAATAAACGATGTTACGGTGTATTACACTTTAATACTATATAAGGGACCTTTAACATCAGATTCCGATAGTCCTTCACAATGTATACTCGAACGATATTAGTAGTTTTCATAGCCATAATTTCCATAACTAATGCTAAAAAACATGTTTGGGAGTTTTTAGAAAAATATCCTTTTTTTCCCACCATAGACGAAGCTACCGGTGAAATAGGATTTTTCGAAAAACAGAAAAATATTATATTGAAGGTAAGTCTGTACAATGAATGACATTTATTAATTTATAAATTACCAAGGTATACTACTTTTATAAATTAATGTTAAACTAGCTGTGCCCGCGACTTTTTCTTTACTGTTTCGACTATATTGGTTGTATTGTAGGGTAATCTAAATATAATAATATGTCAGCCGTTTGGTGTAGTGGTTCGAAACGGACTACTATTCCGGAGGTAGCGGGTTTGATTCCCGCACAGTACAAACATTTGTGTATGAACATATTTATTTGTAGGTATTGGACTGGGTGTTTTCTATGTATAATAAGTATGTATTTACAAAAAAAAAGTATTTAAGTATGTTTATATCCGTTGTCTAGTACCCATAGTACAAGCTTTGCTTAGTTTGGGACTAGAAGCGCAGTGTAAATGTCCAAGGATATTTATATTTATATTATTAAAGGGGTTCCACGCGTACGAAGTCGCGGGCGGCCGCTAGTGTTAAATATAGCCTAAAGCCTTCCTCGATGAATTGGGCAATTCAACATAACAATATTTTTTCAAGTTGGACCTAGGTACTGGTCCTGAGATTAGCCAAACAAACTTCATAATATTAGTAAGTATGACAAGAATTCGCCTTTATGACCACAACCACAAAATTCAAATCCATAAATGAACTGTCTTCATCTAAGTTTCATTATTATTCATTAGAGGAAAAGAAAAACATTTGAATAATAACTGATGTTTCAAGGTTAAAAATAAAAAAAATAAGCCCTTTGCACAATTTGCATCGCATCAAACAGCCGTTTGCCGTTATAAACGTAGCCACGTTATACTCGTAGCTCACTTTCTGTATTATTCGACTCAGTTGCAATCCCATTTCAGGTCCCTAGATGCCAGACAGTTAGATACGTGCTTGTTATGGTTGACAACTCTGTCGCCAAACCGAAGGTGGACTATGACAGTGACACAAAGATAGTGTCCATCAAATACGGGCCATTTCAGTACAGCAAATCGACCTACCAAGTGCTCGCTACAGGATCGGGCACACCTGGCTGCGACGCTCCTCTTCCTCCTGCTCCTAACCCAAACCCATTTGATATAATTGTCGGCCCTGTACCCCAGCCTTATCCCGTGCCCTATCCATGTCCCAACATATTCCCGTGTCCCAACGTATTCCCGAGTCCCAACGTAATCCCGTTTCCCGACGTTTATCCGAGTCCCAGCGTAATCCCGGTTCCCGACGTTTACCCGAGTCCCAGCGTAAACCCGGTTCATGGCGTTTACCCGAGTCCCAGCGTAAACCCGGTTCATGGCGTTTACCCGAGTCCCAGCGTAAACCCGGTTCATGGCGTTTACCCGAGTCCCAAAGTATACCCGAGTCCTGACGTTTACCCGAGTCCCAGCGTAGTCCCGGTTCCCGACGTTTACCCTTCTGGACCTGTAATTTCTCCAAATCCCTTCGTAGCGCCAAGTCCTTTGGTGTCGCCAAGTTACTTCATTCAAAATTAATAAAAATTTTATGAATACCTAAGTATTTCAATTACTTTTTAACGTCATAGTCTTAATTTTCAGAGATAGAGCATAGCGCATCGGATGCTTTCAAAATCTTTTTTTATCGTTATCTGTTAAGGGGAGGAGGAGAGTTGTACAAATGATGTAAATTGTTGTAACAAACTCAATAACTCTGAATGTATAGGTTTCAGTTTATCGAGCAAGCAACTTTGCGAATTCGTTGCTCTTTAACCGACGTCATTAAGCTTCGGTCTCGAGATCGCAACGCACAACGCTGCGGTATGCGGAGGCGGACACATAATCGTATGAAAAATAATTAACGATTTACATAACTTATCAATGAAAATTACGCAAGAAATGACTAGAATCTGGGTGACAATCATGGAAAAAAATGTATTAAGATTGATGATATCTTAGAAAATATGGGTTTAGGTTACACATGTTCTTAAGACATTTAACAGGTTATAAACAACCCTACAATTTCCGGAAGTAAAGTCAAAAGGAGCACGTTGTATGCGAAAATTTGCAAAATTACGGGCGTTTTGATTACAGCCAAATAAAGTCGATTACTGTCCATAACTCCAAGTCCTAACCCTGCAACGGGGCGTCTTAGCTAGCTCAGTCTGACACCCCGCTGTTTAGTACTAAGTCCCAGTTCGCCTTCTGCGATGAGGGATGTGTACCTATCCAGGATGCCTACAGGGATATTCGACCAAGGAAACGCACAATCAATAACACAATGGCACTTATAATTCGGGTTCCACAATAGTTTTACTTATTCTAGTTTCACTGACTCTAAGTTTATTATTATCACGAGCAATTACTTTACAGGTTATATCACAATTACTAATTACTGGCAATGAAAAGAATAGCGACGCGCCCGATCCGCGTCCCGAGACTAGTTTACGTATCCGCGAGAGGGGCGGCGCCCTGTGCGAGGTTTAGCGAGTGTTAGTCTGGATACTTATAACTAGGGGGGTAGGATGTGGCCCAATTAGCTCGAGCCAGAGGCCGAAGCCCTCAGGTGAGCGCGACCACAGGGGAAAGGCGTTGGACCTACGTGGCGAGGGGGTGTGAAGTTCAGGAAGGGTGGCAGCAGGATTGCTACCGCAGGTCGGGGATGAGTATCGCATGCACTACTCGGTAAGGAATAGAACCGGTAGGCTATCAACGGTAAAACGTCTCGAATCGACAATTAGATCACCGACCGAGTTATCGAGATACCGAATCAAGCCAGAGTCGAACAGTTAGGGTTAGTGGGAACAATGAGGATAGCTATTCGCTAGGGACTCTGTGCAATGCAGCCGAGGGAACGATAGACGCGCGCGCGAACGTCTGGCTGTTGCAATGGCTCCCGAGCGAATGCTAGGCGCCCGCGGTCGCCGCCGTCTCATATATTAGCTCGGTCCGTGCGGCGTGCGGCCGCGCAGCCGTAGGGTTGTCAAAATCTCCGTGCTCGGTGCTAGGGCTGTCGATGCGTCGCGGGGCGCGTCACATCCTCCCTTGTTTTGGAGATTTTTACCTGGAAAAATCACAAGTCTGGTACATAAAGGTTCTTCAAGAACAACTAAAAGTCATGTCAATAATAAGTTATTTTTGGGTAACTTCATAACGAGTAAAAATTAAAATATAAAACATGACTGAACTTGTGCTTGCTCGTTAGCCCAATAATAACTCCTTATTTAAAACATGACAGTACATTTATTTACTTATAACCATATTAGTTAACTTGGTCTTGAAACAATTTTATTAAGATACCCTTAATTTTTTTTTTGCTTACAATGAACTAATTAAACGCTAATTTTAGCTAACTTAGTTTTGAAACAATGTTATTAAGATACCTTTAATTTTTTTCTTTCAATGAACTAATTAAACGTTAATTTTAGCTAACTTAGTTTTGAAACAATGTTATTAAGATACCTTTAATTATTTGCTTACAATGAACTAATTAAACGCTAATTTTAGTTAACTTAGTTTTGAAACAATGTTATTAAGATACTTTTGACCTTTTGTTTACAATTAACTAATGAACTAATTAAACGAGTTGTTTACTTTGTTATTACGAGTATTCAATTATTACTTGAAATATTTATTTAGTTCAAAAATAGTATGCATGGCACTTGTTATTATTATTTCTAGTTTACTAGTTTAATTATTTAAATTACCATACTCAGAATAGGCATCTGGTTAATGTTAATAATTTCTATAATAATTATTAAAAGTTATACAAGACAATGGCAGTTACGGGGTTAAGTTTTANCCGCGAGAGGGGCGGCGCCCTGTGCGAGGTTTAGCGAGTGTTAGTCTGGATACTTATAACTAGGGGGGTAGGATGTGGCCCAATTAGCTCGAGCCAGAGGCCGAAGCCCTCAGGTGAGCGCGACCACAGGGGAAAGGCGTTGGACCTACGTGGCGAGGGGGTGTGAAGTTCAGGAAGGGTGGCAGCAGGATTGCTACCGCAGGTCGGGGATGAGTATCGCATGCACTACTCGGTAAGGATTAGAACCGGTAGGCTATCAACGGTAAAACGTCTCGAATCGACAATTAGATCACCGACCGAGTTATCGAGATACCGAATCAAGCCAGAGTCGAACAGTTAGGGTTAGTGGGAACAATGAGGATAGCTATTCGCTAGGGACTCTGTGCAATGCAGCCGAGGGAACGATGGACGCGCGCGCGAACGTCTGGCTGTTGCAATGGCTCCCGAGCGAATGCTAGGCGCCCGCGGTCGCCGCCGTCTCATATATTAGCTCGGTCCGTGCGGCGTGCGGCCGCGCAGCCGTAGGGTTGTCAAAATCTCCGTGCTCGTTGCTAGGGCTGTCGATGCGTCGCGGGGCGCGTCACAACCCCAAAACCTTTTCTTCACTTGTTTTGTTTTACAAGATTAAAATTAATTCATTGGTCACATGTCACATGCACCTCAATAGATGAAGAAATTAAAATTGAATTTAGAGTGAGGTGGGGTAAGTCAAAACATATTTAATATTTTTAGTTTTTACTTCATAAAAATAGTGCTTTTTTGTGTGGATGTGGAGTGCAAAATTAAGTTATTATCATCAAAAACTATTCCAAGGCAATAAGTATAATAAAAGAGAATCAAAACAAAATAGGTAGATCTTAATACGTGTCAAAGCTCCTCAACCTCATACTGTTTCGATAAGAAACTAAAGCCTGGTCCGTGAGCACGTAGAATCCCGTCCAATGACCCCAAGCTGCCCATCCTTATCTCTGTGTTGTGCTGTTATGTTGCTGTCGCGCTCGCACACTCACTGCGGGCGCGCGTCGCACAGTCGCGACAGCAATATAATTACGCGCGAGCGATAAGGATGGGTAGTTTGGGGTCATTGGACGGGATTCTACGTGCTCACGGACCAGGCTTTACAAAAAAAAGGGTTAATTCTAGGGTGGAAGATTGATTTTTTAAATACTGATGTTTTAAATTGCTTCAACGATATATCAAAAACCTGTAGTGCAAAGAAAAGAGGTGAGAGTTGTATCGCAATAAAAGGTAAGTTACTAGGGGTACTACTATTATTTATTCTGTGGTTAGGTACTGTTTTACCTAAGGTGGGTACTACCTACTTAGCTTTGTAAAATACATAGTTTTACCGATAGCAGTTTTACCCAACTTCATCCATCATGATGATTAGTTACGTAATGAGTACACAATATTAGCTATGTAGTATACAGTAATCTACTTTATTAGCCACCAGTCATTATTTAAATTGAGATTTACTTCATATATTGTCCGAATGGGTTCTTGTACGCGCGTTATGTCGATTTTCTGGCTACTTTGTTTGGTGTGCAGCCATATTGGATTAACCACATGCATATCTTCAAAAACCAATGACATATTTGAATTTGGTATATTTTTTAATTAAATTATTTCATAATAATGGTTAAATCAATGGAAAAGAAAACATTTCTTCAATTTTTTTTCAAATAAGTAATTATTTACCGTTACCTAAATAGGTAACGGTAATTTAATGCTTTCCTGTTTGATATTTTAGGTGTCGACAAGGGAAGGGTCTCATTCAATGTGGTCGGTAATATCGGCTTGTTCGAAAAAAATACAAAAATACCTATTGAGGTGAGTTAACTATTGTTTTAAACTTTCATGGTCACTAACTTTCATCCTATTAATTCGCAGACCTTGATCAAACTCTTTATGACCTACAGTCATGTTATAGCATCTTCACAGTTCTGGTTACCCTTTAGTACTACGAAGAATAAGTGTAGCCTGACGGGCTGTGCTGTACCTCATCATCATCATTTTAGCCACAGGACGTCCACTGTTGAACATTGGCCTTCCCCAATGTCATTCACATCGCACGGTTGATAGCGGCCTGTATCTAGCACCCCCCTGTCTTTACATTTACTGTACTGTACCTCAGTGGCTCAGTCCTGTCTAATATAATCTTTATTAGGTACCATACTGCATGAAGCTGACCTACGTGCGAGTAGAGGTGGACAACAGCCTTGGCCCGCCGGTCGTGTCGCTAGACCACGGCCTGCAAATGGTCACCATCAAATATCGCCCGCTCCAGCACAGCAAGTCTACGTACTCGGTCACCGCCAAAACACTACCAATGAAGAAATGCGACCTTGTCGACGACAGTAATGGTTATTAAAATATGCATCAATGTATCTTTTGCACATTTATTGACCCCTTAAACCTAAGGAAATAAACATGATTACTGATTAATAGACTCCAAAATACCCATTGTTCACGTAATATCTAACTCTAGAAAATAAATCAGTTATGTTCAAAGTCAAAGTCAAAATTTCTTTATTTGTTTAGACTAATAAATAGTTCTTACAAATCGTCATTTTGTTCGTTGATAGGTATAGAGATTAGAGACCAAGGCAGTAACTTCATGTGTAGTTGGATATTATGAGACTATAAACCAATGATCTCATCCCTTTGTCTAGTTGTTGTTTAATTAGCAATTATGAAGTTTCTATCGATAGTGACCGAATAAGGGAACAGCAAATCTTAGTTATCAGTCTTGATCCGCCTTATTAAAATAATTAGAACAAAACAGCATGTAAGATTATACGCTCAGTTGCTACGTAAATAAGTCAACTTTACAGTATGATTAAGGGTGAGATGGGGTAACATAGGATGCTTGGCCTATTCGTGAACATTTTTCTCGTTATTTCGAGTAAGTTAGAAGGTATCGCAGTATCCTATTGAAATGTTTACAAAAGAGAACGCTACTTTTAGTAAAAAATACTATTTCATGCATGAAGAAATAGTATTAACGTTTAATTAGGCTCTACAAGTCTAGATACACGTCCTACCCCACCTCACTTTACATATTTTTAAACAACCTTATGAAAATTATTTTTCTTCTTAGTCCAATCAGTGCCAATAGTTAAAAAATTACGCGCGTTATGTCGATTTTCTGGCTATTATGTTTGGTGTGCAGCCATATTGGACTCACCGTGTGCAAATCTGAGACAAATGATGTATTCGAATTTGGTATTTCATTTATATTTTTTACATTTTTATGTTACTTTTCATAACCCAAACTTGTGTATTACCTTTATTGCATTGATTTTGATATTTCAGGAGTTGACAAGGGAAGGGTCTCATTTAGTGAAGTCGGCAGTATTGGCCTATTTGAAAAAATTAAAAAAATACCTATTAAGGTTAGTAACATCTCTCAATCCTTTACTTTACTACTTTATCAGATCCATTCTTTCTTTGCTCACATCATACGCATACATTTATCTGCTTGATTCAATCACTGTTATATTACATAACATTCCACCGATTTCCACCTCAGAAGCCCACATTGTTTGAACAGTTAGTAGAAGATATAAAACCTTAAGGTCAACGCACACAGAGGCGGGAAGCGCGGGAAAGCGGTCATGATCCGGGACGATATTTTTTGTAATGTTCTAATTTATTTATTTATTTAAGAATGTTTAAATAGCATTTAATTGTGCATAAATGTGCAGGAAGTTAGTACTTGAACATAAGCCAATTAAAGAAACACATTCTACCACTAATTTGTACAAAATCAGTCATATAGAAAAGAAAGAGGACGCCTACTCCCATCAGGATCAGGATCGCAATCGGATCGCTTTTCCCCGCCCTTCCCAATTTTTGATATGGGCTATTTAATTTGAATATAAATTAATTCTGCAATACAATGTCACTAATGCTAAGAAGGCACAAAAGATAAGGAAACATGTGCCGCTTAATAGCTACTATTCATAAGTGCCACTTGTGGTCAAAATTGAATAAATATTTTTGATTTTGATTTTTTATTTTTTGATTATGTTTTATTTCACGTCGCCGCGTCGTTTAGATACCGTACTGCATGAAGCTGACGTTCGTGCGCGTGGAGGTGGACAACTCACTGGGCCCGCCCGTGGTGACGCTAGACTACGGCCTGCTGATGACCACGATCCGCTACCGCCCACTGCAGCATAGCAGTTCGACCTACTCCGTCATCGCCAAGGCGGTGCCCATCAAGGACTGCGCCTCGCCCGAACCGGACGATTATTATTAATTAATAAACCATGGCTGCTGAGGACTTGAGATTGGTCTATTGGTTTTATTATCACAACTTTTGACCGCAGCTTCGTCTAAGTTTTCGGTCTGTCACAGAAAGACATTTGTCACGCGCGTATCCTATACTAAGTACCTACATTGAAAAACTGGGATAAAACTATCCTGTGCGTTTTCCTGGGTAGGCCATTTCTGTAGGATATTATATAGGATAGTAGGATAGAGCATAGGATAAGATAATAGGAAGGATAGCAAGACTAGGATATGACGAGAAGGTAGGCACACATAATACGAGGAACTAATGTATTCTCATTGTGTTCCTTCTTCATAAGATACCGTACTGCATGACTACGGCCTGCTGATGGTGACGGTCCGGTACCGCCCACTGCAGCATAGCAGTTCGACCTACTCCGTCATCGCCAAGGCGGTGCCCATCAAGGACTGCGCCTCGCCCGACCCTGACGATTATTATATTAATTAAATAAATAAACACGGCTGCTGTACCTAAACATGGACTTGAGATTGGTCTATTTTTTGTTCCTATCCTATCCTATCCTAATTACATAATATACAGGGTGTCCCAAAAACAATGGATAACCCTGTAACCATCGATAGGCCTCGCCATGGTCTCCTTAACGTCCAATTTTGACCCCAGTAAAAATATCACCGTTTTCAAGATTTTCAAGTTTTTGTGCATTTTTAGAAAATTGCCACCTGCGATTACTTTTTCTCATGCCATTTCTACAAATGAGGATACTTTTCAATCTAGTTTTTTTCCTTATCACAAGGGATAGTTGGGCTATCAAAAGAAAATATTAAAGTTCAACAAACTAGTTTAAAAGTATGAAAATTTTAAGAAATTGCAGAGAAGAAGGAAAAATTAATTCATTGTCTTGCACTTTTGATCAGCCATCGTGTAAAAAAAATGTAGGAAGACTATCGTGCCCATTGCCTTAAAAACTTCCTTGGTTAATTGAGATTCTAAAAAGGTATCACAAGCCTATGTATTCTGTATTATTTTTATCTTATGGCTACTTGAATAGCAACTAGTATGAAAACTGCAAAAATGAGTTTTTCTCGTAATAGTTAAACTAGGACTGCATAGTGGCATTAAATACAAATGGATAATTTTTAGCGTAGGAATTTTAATAAAGCAACATTTTATCATCATCATCATCATCATTTCAGCCATAGGACGTCCACTGCTGAACATAGGCCTGTACCCCAATGATTTTCATAATGACCGCTTGGTAGCGGCCTGCATCCAGCACCTTCCTGCTTACCTTTATGAGGTCGTCGGTCCACTTTGTAGGTGGACGTCCTACGATGCGCTTTCCGGTACGTAGCCTCCACTTGAACCCTGTTGCCCCATTGGCCGTCCGTTCTGCGTTTTTGTGATTACTTAATTTTTGTTTTAAACCTTATAAATGTGCCTATAGACAAATACCCGTGATAATACACGGCTCGGAAACGTGGATTTTTTGGACAGCGTGCTATGGAAGGGGTTATGCTCGGGTTTCTTTACGAAATCGTATCAAAAATTAGGAGATCCGTAAACGACCTAGAGTCGCTGACATACCTCGACGGATCAGCAAGCTGAAGTGGCAATGGGCAGGGCACAGTAGTTTGCAGAACTGAGGCAGCAGGGTTAAAGTGGAGGCTTCGTACCGGAAAGCGCATCGTAGGACGTCCACCTACAAAGTGGACCGACGACCTCATAAAGGTAAGCAGGAAGGTGCTGGATGCAGGCCGCTACCAAGCGGTCATTATGAAAATCATTGGGGTACAGGCCTATGTTCAGCAGTGGACGTTCTATGGCTGAAATGATGATGATGATGATGATTAAATGTTGCTTTATTAAAATTCCTACGCTAAAAATTATCCATTTATATTTAATGCCACTATGCAGTCCTAGTTTAACTATTACGAGAAAAACTCATTTTTGCAGTTTTCATCCCAGTTGCTATTCAAGTAGCCATAAGATAAAAATAATACAGAATACATAAGCTTGTGATACCTTTTTAGAATCATAATTAACCAAGGAAGTTTTTAAGGTAATGGGCACGATAGTCTTCCTACATTTTTTTTACACGATGGCTGATCAAAAGTGCAAGACAATGAATTAATTTTTCTTTCTTCTCTGCAATTTCTTAAAATTTTCATACTTTTAAACTAGTTTGTTGAACTTTAATCTTTTCTTTTGATAGCCCAACTATCCCTTCTGATAAGGAAAAAAACTAGATTGAAGAGTATCCTCATTTGTAGAAATGGCATGAGAAAAAGTAATCGCTGGTGGCAATTTTCTAAAAATGCACAAAAACTTGAAAATCTTGAAAACGGTGATATTTTTACTGGGGTCAAAATTGGATGTTAGGGAGACCATGGCGAGGCCTACCGATGGTTACAGGGTTATCCATTGTTTTTGGGACACCCTGTATAGCCGTGCCTTACGCGTTTAAACCACTAAATCGAGTTCGATTAGGTATAGTTTTGGTCAGAGGAAAAACAACTTACAACATAGGGTAGTAACTTAAAGACTTTCTGTGATAGACAGAAATTCATTCGGGTGGAGCCGCGAGCAGAAGCTAAGTATAAATTGTGATTTAAATCACTAGAAGAAAGTGATTAAGTCATTTAATTTTCCCGTAGTAATTTTTTTAATTTTCTACAACAAATACTTATAAAAGTATGAACAAACAAACTAATCATGCTGTCGGCCTTCCTTATGTGCATAAATAACCACCTTCGTGTTACCATAGTTAATTTTATGTGCGTACCTACTTGTCATAGTGTACATTAAATTACATAATTATAAAAAAGGCTAAATGCGTTAAATTAATAATACAAACTGGTCAAGTAGGTACGTGCGGCGATAACAGTCCCGTGGTGTGGATAATAATAATCATAATCATAATCATCATTGCCGAACAACAGGATGACCATTGCCGAAGGACAGAACATAGAAAGAGGAACCACAGATGCTTTCTCTATGTTCTGCGCCTCTCTCCCCCAAGTCCCCCCATGAGTTCCACATCACACGGTTGATAGCGGCCTGCAACTATGCAACTTAGAGCTTCCTTATGAGGCCTATTAGTGAAAGGTCACGTTTCAGAGCCATAATACAAATAAATCAAGTCAAAATACTTAGACCAACTCAGAACGTAGATTTCAGTGGAACAGTGTTAAAAATCTACCCGCTTTATTAATGTCACTGTAAGACCAGTAAGACTATCTAGAGTTGCCAAGTTGCATTAATTTCTTTAGAAGAGAACCCTAAATTCCGTAATTTATGTAAACGATTTTCTTACCACTCTTTTTTTAATGACTTTTATTCAATCACTATTGATACAAGGCAATAGTGTGTTAGTTAATATTACAAAATCAGTCATGTCTGGACTACGCTGTGGTACATTGGTTCTGAGGCTTTTGTCACTGATGTGTTGTAATGTTGGAATGATATTGTGCGGAAAAATAACCACTGATGTATTCCATTTTCCCTTATGTCATGGCAATTTAAAAGGTACTTAATATTATCCTGAAAGGGTGTTTAATGTTTTAACTCGTAGAACCCAAAGTGGTAGCATGGTAGGTATCTAGTCCGTCAATTATATTATCAAAAAATATTGGTCACGTATATTTTTATTTGTCAATCAAAAAAATGATTATGAAATTATGATGCGTTAACCGTTGACGTTGCGTGACCGATTTATAGCTCACAGAATTGCTAAAATCAAGTGGCAGTGGACGGGGCACATAGCTCGTAGAGACGATGGTCATTGGGGCAGAAAAGTTCTCGAGTGGCGACCACGGACTGGAAGCCCAGGCGTAGCGTGGGCAGGTAGATGGACCGACGATCTGGTAAAGGTCGCGGGAAGAGCCTGGATGCGGGCAGCGCAGGACTGTTCATTGTGGAAAACCTTGGTCCCCCAAGGTCCCGGTCTGTGCCCAGCAGTGGACGCCATTTGGCTCTAACGAACGAACGAACGATGCGTTGAAGTTCCGCGTGACGTCACAAAGTGCTACACTTTTAAATGTAATGTATTTTTAAAACTTCAGATCCATATGGAGGAAGAATTTCATTTAATGTAGCAGGTTCAATCCACAAAGATGAAAAAGTTGCCAGAATACCCATTACGGTACGTAAATAATTTAAAATACTCATAAGGTACTTGATACAAATAAGGCCTACTTAACTTTAAATGCTTATATTTTAATAAATATTAACGCCAATCAACAAAAACAAGGTTAATTAACTTCTTCCATCCTTTAATTTTAGCAATATTACAAAAAATAACACATTTTTTAACTAAATCTCTTCAAAATAAGCAAATTACGAAACTACTGATTTTGGCTTTAATAAATCACCTACACGGAATAAGGCCTATATGATTCAAATGCCTCTAGACCTTAAAATTGAGTTTGTATTAAACAAAATGTGGTCTTATATCATTAAACACGTCGATTTGTTTGTGTTATTAAAATTTTACATAACTAATAAACAGAAATATACTGTATATCTCTAGATAAACTTAAATTCCACTTATTAAGAATTGTACATAAATTAATATTCATAGTAACAAAGTAATGATTCCTTACATATTATATTTTGATATTATTGAAAAAAATATCAAAAACAAACAATATATTTTTTTTGTATAGGGCTTATTAAAACACCGTGTTCGAATAAGGCCTACACATAAAACCTTTTAAATAAATCAGTTTTAGGAATATCATTTATATTAGTCTTGAATTTTTGTAAACAAAATGAGATCTCTATTTTTATTAGAACCAGTGCATAAAAAGGCTTCTGAATCATCTTTACGAACTCCTACACAATATTTGTGATACCACCAAAAGCAGTCTTTTATGGTCGCATATCTGCTACTTTGTCTTCGAGACAGGCGTGATAATACTAGCTTTTATTCTTCTTTCCTTTAGAATTATACATACGGCTTTTTTTCTTATTTGTTTATATAAGACAGCACGAAATCACCCACCACCTTAGAAGAACGCGTGCCAATTGGTACTGGGATCGTGGATCGGGACGCTCTTGCACTCTACCGGGTTATAGGGCATATGAGTACGTGTCCTTGAAGTATTATCCCGGTTGGATTTATTTATCTGTGTTTTCTGATGCATAGGCCTTATTAGAACGTAGGCCTTATTTGTATCAAGTACCTTATTTTAACAATAATACATACAGAGATTATCTAATCAACTCCAAATTAAAACAACGGAAATCCAAAGGGAAATCCACGAAAATAATACCTTGCTGTCAGCAAGGCTTGTCTTCATTATTCTTATGAGCCGCCAATAACCTTATGTTGTATTCCAGATTCCGTATTGCATGGACCTAACCTACGTCAATGTGGCGGTGGACAACCCAGTCGGTCCTCCGGTGGTGTCTCTGGACCGAGACCTGTACGTGGTCACCATCAAATACCGCGAGTCTCAGAAAAGCGCGTCAACCTATTCGGTCACCGCCAAGACTGTTCCTATCAAGCAATGCTACGATTTCAACAATGATGGTTATTAAATCAATTAAACATTTCATTATTACTGTTTATTTATTTATCTAATGCACTTATTTTTGCATAAAGATAATATTTTATAAACATGTTAGTAGGTGCTTCTCCTTGGTAAAAAGCAATAAAATCTTTCATTATAACTAATCAATCATCTGCTTGTCTTCTATGCCGTATGACGTGGACATGACATTTTGTACTTATTTATTTACATAATTCTTTGCAAGTAAATCGAAATTTTATAAGTTTTAAAAGCACATTAGACAACCATTTTCAACGTTCAAAGTTTGCACAACAACATAGCTCGTAAAGTGTATCACTAGGTTCTCAAAAGCATGCATCCACTACGAGAACGGGCATGCGATGAGCTTCTGGAAAACCCACTCCTGCGCACACCGCCCCCGGAGCCGGAGCGACCACGCCCACCTCGAGTGCGCAAACCAAGGGTCTTCAAACTCGTCAGTATCAGACATGTGTTTCTAAATTTACTAAAAAACCTGTGTACTTGATTCTATTAATGATCCTTCAAAAATATGCTTCAGCCACCCCGTTTTCCACTGCTGGACAAAGAATTCTATGCCAAGTGGTGTAATCATCAAAAGGAGGTAAATCAAGATAACTTTGCTATTCGAAAGTTTGTTTTTATTATAACTTAGTAGATATTCCTCTTTTTGATATGCAGCTGCAACTGACGACCCACAGAGTAGACGATAGTCCTCCCGAATTGTTCCCTGAGTTATATCTGAAGCCTCGCAGGCTGGATTACTATGCTCGACAGCTGGAGGAGAACATGAATGTTAACAAGGAACTCTTGAAAAGGATTAACATGATTCAGAGGACAGGCGTGAGCACAATAATATTATAACTTTTATAATCTTAGCCAAAAACGCAATCAGTAAATTTTTTGTCTGTCTGTCTGTCTGTATGTTCCTTATAGAAACAAAAACTACTTGACGGATTTTAACGAAACTTGGTACAATTATTCTTCATACTCCTGGGCAGGTTATAGTATACTTAGGAATTCCCACGGGAACGGGAATTAGCGGGAAAATCCTTTTGTATGAAAAATCTAAACCGCTTAAGTTAGACGCTTGAATATTGGCATGCAGGTACCTTAGTAAACTTAAAGCTTAGTTACAACAGGATATTGCAAAATTCCCACGGGAGCGGGAGTTAGCGGGAAAAAATATTTGTATGAAAAATCTAAACCGCGTAAGATAGATGAAGGGGGTAAAACGGGATCCACGCGTACGAAGTCGCGGGCGGCCGCTAGTACTTAATAAGACTACGTGGTAATTTCAGGGCTTCGTTGATTGCTGGATAAAGCCAGAGCCAACGAACACTTACAATAAGCTTCTGTGCAAGCAGAGACAAAGGATGTTGAACGAAATACGTCAACAGAATCTCTACTTTTACTCAAGACTGCTGATTGCGGTAAGTATTGATTTTTTTACTTTCTTCTGAAAAAATTTTAAGAAGAAAAAAAAGAACGTTATTTTTTTCAGAGATCAGAGCAACTTTTGACTAAGGAGCTTGATGAGCTTTGGAAAGATACTAAGCATAAACTAATATTGGGTGCCTCGTAAGTAATTGTGAAATGAGCTCAATTTAATAATGAATAGTTTTCTGATTGTAATTAAATTTCAGACTGCCTTTTATTTTATTCAAGACCGAGAAGATCGATCGCGACATAAGAGATCCAGCTTTTGACAAACCTCCAAGTGTTCAAAGAACCAAGTAAGTTTTTATCACTATTTTTTGGGAAAATGTTTAATGACCTTATTATTTCCACTATAATCTATTTTTATTTATTTATTTATTTATTTAGAGTATCAATGGAAATCTGGGTGCTTGGTGGCTCGAAGATCGGGAAGGTGACCGTTGAGCTGTTCAACGACCTGGTGCCAAAGACCTGTGCGCTCTTCTTGAGTCTAATCAAAGGCGATAACAATGGACATGCATATATGGGCACACGGTTCTTCAGGTAAATTCTAAAAACTTTCCTATGAGAATTGGCTTTTTTCGCCTGACTTTATTCTACTCTCGTTAATTGTTTATCAGAACTTAGAAATTTGATCTATGTGATAAAGATCTGGTTTACATACCTAATTGATGAATATTTAGTATTTACTGACGCGATTTCCCAGAGTTGTGCCGAATCTGTATTGCCGTGGTGGTGATGTAACGAAAGACAACGGTTTTGGCTGCTACCTGCCCGAGGGTGAAGTGGAACCCATGGGAGCTGAAAGCTATAGGCTCAAACATACTGTCCCAGGTACAGACGACAGCACATCAGACTGTACATTTTTAAAACAAAATCATCTCTATTACACGAGCATAAGATGCCAAATTTTTTATTCCAGGAGTACTTTCAATGGTAGTGACACCAGACAACGAAGTGTGCGGACAGTTCAACATCATTTTTAAACCGTTACCGCAGTTCGACGGGAAACATGTTGTTTTTGGACGAGTAAGTGAAAATATATTTTCCCACTTTCCCAAGACTTGTACTCTCATCGTGAGATCACAAATTCAGCCCTCTCATATAATTTCAATGGAATGAGAGAGGACTCTATTACATACAATTTTAATATCTGCAACACATTGCAACGTATAGAATTCATAACGCTATTAAAATTATCAACAGTGTTTGTTTATTTTAATTTTGGCTTTAGATTTGTATTTATTTAACAAAAGTGAGGTACATACAGGACATACTGTCATGTATCTGAAATAGTGTTATCTGATAGAAATTCAACAGATACTCTCATTTTTAGATAGTGGGTGGCCCTACTCAAGCCCTAGAGAGGATCAGCGCACTAGGGCTGCCGCTCGGCACCACCACCTCGGACTGCATCATCCGCTACTGCGGCTGGTTCACTCGCGCCGGCCAGTACCGTGAAGGCAACCCTAACACCATCAAGTTCCCGCCTAGGAGAAAAGCGAAGAAGTAGCGAAAAGCGAATTGCTTCAGAATAACTATAAAAACTATTTTTTTTTAAATAATTTGTCAACAACTTTGCTGCGATTTTATCAATAAAAAAAGTTACTGGTTATATATAAAAGTCTTTTTTTTTATTTACAATCGTAGTTTCGGTTGAGCACACCTATCGTTTGATTTCTAATCCGTAATACTTAAACATAATATTACTTTTACAATAAGAAAAATATCTCACCTGGCATGTGTGATAAACGTAATGTAATGTAAAATAATGCATCTACTTCCAAGAATTATAAAATCATAATTCTAGCTCAAGTTAACGTAATAGAGCTCTATATTTTCTATCTTGGTATTGTAACGAATAAAAAAAAAACAAATTATATTAATTTGTACATCATACTTTAATCACTTTTCCAAATAAATTACAAAAATCTGAGAACACAAATAAAGTACGAAGCGAGTAGCAATCACACTCTCAATCAACAGTCAATACATACATCAATTAGGTCACATTTGTAGAGTTCATGGCCTGGTTCACTCTATCTTCACGAATAATCCACACGACAGTATCAGAGCTAGTACCTGAAATGAAAAACACTGAATAAGTATCAATATTATAATAAGAGTAGTTATCCAAAAATGTTACCTTATACTTTGATTTCACGAATACGAATGGACATGTAACTTTCCGGATATTATTTATAGTAATTAAAACGAAATACTTTTATCTACCTATAGGTGTATTTTTAACATTAAATCAGATGCAAAGTTTTTATCACTAATTTGTTATTCTCTAATTGTTGATAAAGTCTCTGCCAGCCTATCAGGAACTTATCGTAGACGGTAAAACTATCCCTTAAAATCATGTTCATGTTTACATTAATTGAGTGAAAGCGCACTTTTATTTAGGCGACACGCGCTGCCGATAATTTCCTAGATACAGCTTATGCCTGCCTTCACAAAAGCACGGTAATACTATCTATACAGTATTCCAACTCGGCCATATTTTTGAAATAAATGTCAACAGCCGCGCGGTACGTCACAGTATGACAACATGTGATAGGGCTGCCCATCTACAGTACCCAGTTTAATTACATCTGCCTACTTAGAATTTCTATCTAGTTTTGTGATTGTATTTTTTTATTTAGTTAGACAAACAAAATACTTTGTGAATGGAATAGGTTAAAGTGTATTGTTTTGTGATAAGTAGATTTAATTTATTTAAAACTACTTAAATAATTTTGAAACTTTAATAATCATAATGATCTGTTACGTTAATTTCGGGCGAGCGAAGTCGTGGGAAAAAGCTGGTTTAATACAATATAATTTTCATTTGAAATCAAACTGACTGAAAATGATATTTTGACTAGTTCTTAACCAATTTGACCGTAAATGACGGTCAGTCAAATTCAATCAGTTTTGTCATTTTTAACACTTGGCCACCGACGTCCATTCGGCACATTCGTGACACCCCCGACTTTTGCATACCGAGCGCATACCGAGATTTGAATTTCGAAAGAAAGTTCTCGTTTCGTCTGTTTATATGAAGATACAATACTGTATGATAATATTACCGTGACAAAAGGCCACTGCCGCGCTTCTGTCCCGCTTCTGACGCTCTAACGTGAAAGCGTTCTTAAGGACAGTATTTTTTCTCTAGTAATAAAAGATCAAATGAATGAGTTACCATGATAAGCGCGACAACTATAGCTGCTGCGCCCACGTACACAGCGTCTTCCCTCAGGAACTCCGTCACCTTCAGGTAGCAGCCGTCCGTATACATGTTGGTCGGGTTGGGCAACGACTGGCAGTCGCGGCGCTGGAAAATGCCATAGAAAATTAAAAGTAAAATACAAGTACATACCAAACACCATACAAAATAAAGAGTAAAATACATAACATTGATAACGGTTTTATTGAAATAAATGGGCAAGGCTAAGTGACAGACAAAAACAACTTTCGTTGTGGCTTCATTGAAATAGAAGAGTAGATTTAAAGAGCGAGGTCAGGATCAGGCAGTCTTTTGCCCGTTTTCACCATCAATCCCTAATTTTTAAGTGGCCCCTGTGGTAAATCATAACAGGAATTTTGATTTGTTTTGGGTATTGGGTCACTTACAAATTAGGGATTGATGGTGAAAACGGGCATTAGACGACCGTCCTTTTTATTCTTCTTCTTATTATCTTATTCTATGAGTTATTTTATGAGTGCCAAAAGGAATTTGTTATTAATAAGTTAGTGTGCAACTGCATCGTGATCATTATCATTTAAGGTAATTTTATCTCCACTTTATGAACTGCATACCTAAGTAGTATTACCGTGCCCAAGTTGTATGAATATGAGCTAATAATAAATATGACTAAATTCTAAACCACTAAAAACAATATTAATAAAATTAAATTATGTTTACTTCTAAGGTCATATAAAAGACTTCAACGCGTGACCTCTCGTGAATATCTATACTTATAATAAATCTGTAGAGAGGTCAATTCTGTACATGAAATATATTTTCAAAATAACTATCAGGGGGTGATTAGTGATCGATACTGATGCCAAAAATGCAATCAGTAAAATTTTTGTCTGTCTGTCTGTCTGTCCGTATGTCTGTCTGTCTGTCTGTCTGTATGTTCCTTATAGAAACAAAAACTACTTGACGGATTTTAACGAAACTTGGTACAAATTATTCTTCATACTCCTGGGCAGGTTATAGTATACTTAGGAATTCCCACGGGAACGGGAATTAGCGGGAAAATCCTTTTGAATGAAAAATCTAAACCGCTTAAGTTAGACGCTTGAAATTTGACATGCAGGTACCTTAGTAAACGTAAAGCTTAGTTACAACAGGATATTGCAAAATTCCCACGGGAACGGGAGTTAGCGGGAAAAAACATTTGTATGAAAAAATCTAAACCGCGTAAGATAGATGAAGGGGGTAAAACGGGATCCACGCGTACGAAGTCGCGGGCGGCCGCTAGTTAGTTATTAATAATTGTTTTGTTACAGAACATTTAATTTTGTGTTGCTGTTTGTAACTCATCATCATCGTAATTTATCTTATAAGAAATTGCGGAAATGCGTCACCTTCATCATAGTATAAATAATGAGTAATTGCATACCTTCATCCTGCAATTACTTCGTAAGTGCTGTATCTGTAGGCCATATTTCACTAACAGATGGTTAAAGCAGATGATTCACTTTTGTTGTTAAGTAATCACTAGCTAATATCCACTGTTATAAGATATATTTCCCGAAGGCTAAGAAAACGGGATCCCTTCCATTCACATAGTGTTTTTACTACTAATAATAATAAAGACTTGGCATTTTTTTTGCATAAAATTATTTTGCCTTAATTAACAGAGTTTGATTAACGAAGCTTACCTTTCCAGGATATATTTCCTGGCAGCAGCTTTCTGGAATGTTCCCGTTCCAGTCCTTATAGTTCTTGACTCCGCAGCACTGGAGATATGTCTGCGTGTCATCCCACGCCTTGGTGTATTCAGGCTTCACGCCGTAATACGGGATGGCCGCGTGCATTTCCCGGTCCAGGGTTGTGAGGACCTTCTCCCGGAATACGAATTGAAGGATCCCGCCCACCAGCATCACCACGAAGATTATGAACACTAGGATGTAGTACTGGAAGGAAATGTTGCTGGGTAAGACGCAGTTGGATCACCTGTGGCTTCACGTGACCTACTTTCTACTCTGTGACCAAAGAGCCTTAACAGTTTCATCGGAGATGGACATACTCTAGCAGCTAGAGTAATAATTTGCATAATTAGGTTTCGAATAAAAATCTATTTTATAACTTTGTTTTTTTTTTAATGAGGTAGTTTTTATGACCTCTCGCGACCCCCCACAGTTTGAAAACCACTGCTCTAAGTAATACATAATTCCTAATGTATTTAAAATTAGAAGGTCAAGGGGATATGTCGCAGCGCAGATTAATTACTCTGAAATCTTGAAATTAATCTATCGGATCTCGAAGAGTGGTCTACCACAAAGTCCTAATTTTAATAATTATGAATTTAGTAGGAGTAGATGTTATAGTAGTAGCAACATACTGAAAGGGCCAATATGTTTCTGTTGATCTGGCACAAAAATACGTTATGTACTAAACGGGACTAACACCAGTGAAAAGATTTCGGATTAAGGCCCAGAACAGACAGTGAAACGCAACTGCAACGAAACTGCAACTGCTAGTTACTTTTGAGTTGCATCTAAGTTTCTGCCATAGCGTCCGTTGAGAGGCCACACATGACACGACCAGTTTGAAACTTTTAGGCTTTTAGTTTCAGTTTCATTCATCAGAATCATCAGAAAGTTGCAGTTTCGTTGCAGTTGCGTTTCACCGTCTGTTCTGGGCCTAAGTATCTCATGAAGCCTTTCGCATACGTACCGTCAGCAGCATGCACTTGACCTCCTTAGCGGCGCCGCAGCAGCCGAGCAGCGACAGCAGCATCATAGCAGCGCCCATGGCCACCACCACGGCCACCGACGCGATGAACATGTTGTTGCTCATGAGGGTACTCGAGAACGACCGCGACGTCCATACCCAGAGACCCACTCCTAGCGCTATGGCGCCTCCGATCTGAAGATGAACAGAAACTTATGTGTTTATCTCAAATCTAAAGGATTTCTATGACCTTAGAAACGTAGAAGATTTCTAAGATCATATAAAAGACGCCTTGAACATGTTGTTGCTCATCAGCGTGCTCGAGAACGACCGCGACGTCCATACCCACAGCCCCACGCCCAGCGCTATGGCGCCTCCGATCTGAAGATGAACGAAACTAAACATGTAGAGGTATGCTATGCTGCAATATTACTTATTTATCTAAATGATTGCTAGGGTCATATTAACGATTCGATAAACATGTTGTTGCTTATGAGGATACTCAAGAAAGACGGCAACGTCCATACCCACAGCCCCGCGTCCAGCGCTATGGCGCCACCGATCTGAAGTTGAACAAAAGTAAGCATGTAGCATATCTATAATAAAATATTACTTTTTTTACATAAATCTAAATGATATCTAGTGTAATATTTAAAGACTCGATGACGATGACCATGATCAGGGTGCTTGAGAACGACTGCGACGTCCATACCCAGAGACCCACTCCCAGGGCTATGGCGCCTCCGATCTGAAGATGAACAGAAACTTAATGTCTTTATCTCAAATCTAAAGGATTTCTATGACCTTAGAAACGTAAAAGATTTTTAAGATCATATACAAGACGCCTTGAACATGTTGTTGCTCATTAGCGTGCTCGAGAACGACCGCGACGTCCATACCCAGAGACCCACTCCCAGGGCTATGGCGCCTATAGTATTACTTATTTTTAAAATTAAATCTAAATGATTTCTAGGGTCATATTAAAGACTCGATGAATATTTTGTTACACATGACGGCGCTTGAGATCGACCAAGACGTCCATACGCAGAGACCCACTCCTAGCGCTATGGCGCCTCCGATCTCAAGATGAACAGAACTAAGCATGTAGCATATCTATATCTATACTAATATTATAAATGCGAAAGTAACTCTGTCTGTCTGTCTGTCTCACTTTCACGCCTAAACCACTGAACCGATTTTGATGAAATTTGGCATAGAGATAAGTTGAGTCCCGGGAAAGGACATAGGATAGTTTTTATCCCGGTTTTTGAAACAGGGACGCGCGCGATAAAGTATTTCTGTGACAGACAAAATTCCACGCGGGCGAAGCCGCGGGCGGAAAGCTAGTATTACTTATTTATTAACTTAAATCTAAATGATTTGAATGGTTTCTAGGGTCATATTAAAGACTCGATGAACATGTTGTTGCTCATCAGCGTGCTCGAGAACGACCGCGACGTCCATACCCAGAGACCCACGCCCAGCGCTATGGCGCCACCGATCTGAAGATGAACAGAACTAAGCATGTAGCATACCTATATCTATACTAATATTATAAATGCGAAAGTAACTCTGTCTGTCTGTCTCACTTTCACGCCTAAACCACTGAACCGATTTTAATTAAATTTGGCATAGAGATAGGTTGAGTCCCGGGAAAGGACATAGGATAGTTTTTATCCCGGTTTATGAAACAGGGACGCGCGCGATAAAGTTTTTCTGTGACAGACAAAATTGGCGAAGCCGCGGGCGAATGGTAGTATTACTTATTTATTAACTTAAATCTAAATAATTTGAATGGTTTCTAGGGTCATATTAAAGACTCGATGTACATGTTGTTGCTCATCAGCGTGCTCGAGAACGACCGCGACGTCCATACCCAGAGACCCACTCTTAGGGCTATGGCGCCACCGATCTGAAGATACACAGAAACTTAGGGAGAGTTCGGTATATTGTACCGCCGGATAAATTGTACCACCCTCATATTTCGTAAAGTATTTATTGAATGTCTGTAATTGCAACACTCAGCGATACACAACTAAAATCAATTAATATCGGCCATGTGGTTTTTGCCGTGACAACAAACACGTGTGTTTTATTTTGAAAAGTATTTTTTCATTGTTTTCAAGTAACTTTTGACAATACATGTTTAGTTTGTAATTTTGTTAAATTTAATCACAGGGTGTTTCTAATATATTATTTAGAAGCGTAAATTAGTCTGGATTACAATTATTTGAAACATTTTTCGGTATTTATAAGCTATATTTTTTACCGATTTTTTAAAAGCACTATCACCTAGTCGGCTAAATTGTACCACATCAAGTTGTATGGAAATTTACCAAAGGATTTTGAATTTTTTTTTAGTAAATCATATTTTGAAGTTATAATAGCATAGTTATGTTTGACTAACAATAAATGAAAGCAAAAGACTGGCAAAGTAGATTAGGTACAAGTGTGCGTTACGATAATTGGAATTACAAAACTTGTACTCAAAATCGTGATACCGTGTAAAACAATATCGATTGTCTATGTTATTAACTACTGTTCCTTTTCGTTTCCTAATTTGTTAAGAATGTATCGTATAATATTTTGCCATAGTTTTTTTATAGACTTGAAATTTATTGAAATCCAATTTAGTAACCCTGTGGTACAAATTATCGAACCGGTTGGCTAAATTGGACCGAAGCTCTGAACTCGTACTTTGTTGATTTGTGCTAAATTTACAACAATCATGTTAATTAATACTTATGAAATAGTAAGTTGAATAACGTATCTTTTATTTTATACCATGGACATTAGCAAAAACAAAAGAAAACTATGTGTAAAATGGGATTGAAAAAACTGGTCCAAATTAGCGGACTCTCCCTTATGTGTTTATCTCAAATCTAAAGGATTTCTATGACCTTAGAAACGTAAAAGATTTCTAAGATCGTATAAAAGACGCCTTGAACATGTTGTTGCTCATCAGCGTGCTTGCGTGCTTGGTTCTTTACCATCTAATTCTGAATCTTTAGTTGTTTTCTAGACCGGCAATAAGTAAACCTAATTACAGCTTATAGCATATCAGACTACGATACTTACTCATTACTACATAATAGTTTCCTGTTTACTGACAAGTGCATTCCCCTTTTTCCTTTTATTGATTTTCTTTGTTAAGTTATTTATGTAAAATAACAAAGGGCTGTGGTTCTAACTCCCCTTCGTTAATAACATCGTTACTCGTCGCGTGCCTTGCAGTAACTTGTAAACATGTTTTATTATTATGAGAATTCTTCCAACGTGCAGTAGGTATACAGCTTTCACGTAAAAAAACTCAAATAAAACCATTAACGCCGCATTTTAAGACTCGACGGCTAACTTAAATATAGATGTTTTAATTGTTAACGAAGAGTAAACAATTCTATGGTGTTAATTAAAACAAAAACTCGTGGTAAAGTATGAAGTAGAGCGGAAAAGCCGACGTTAACCTTAAACCTGTGCGTCCCCATTTAATCCCTCGCTGTCCGAGCGCCAGATATGATCTAAATGGCTGCCCCAGTTCTAAACAATAAACTACAAGGAGAGGGCTAATCAGGCGTGAGTGCCCATAGTCGTAATCTGGCGACAAAGAACCACTCCTCAAAAGTTACGCCCCGGAACTGTGACTTTGTAGAACGAAAGTTTGAAACTAAAGTTCATACATATTAAAATTTAAAAGCTAATACTATTATCATGGCTACTCTAGACTACTATTTACGAGTATACAGTACTATCCACGGGTGTAAACACTACTTACAAGGGTAATAACATTGATGCATATTAAAGAGAACTTCATACACCGCCCGCAGCTGTCCATCGCTCCTCCCATTCCCATGGCGGTCCTGAAAAAAAATTAAACAAGGATTTTTAAATCGTTTCTCGCTGAAAATATTACATGCAACTTTTTTACAGAGATTTACTTATTTGATGTAGGCAATCTCAAATTTTCCTTCATTTCCCTAATAATCGATTATTTGTGTTTATAATTAAGTACTTAGACCAACATTTACACAGACACAATAAATAGGTAAATGAACACTACTGAAACATGTCCCTACATAATGTAGAGATTATAAATAAGTAGTCAAAGGGAAAATGCTCACCTTGTACAATTTGCACCACCTACTCACATTGGCGGCAAATAAGACATCGACAGCGGGACAACAAACAACTGGTTTTATTACCTGCCTGTCCTACAAGAAAACTACACCGACAACTTTGTTAGAAATGAAATCCAACGGGATTGCTAAAGATACAAACGTGACCGGTACCAGTTTCAAGTCAGATCACTGTCATTACTAGGTATATTTATGTAGGAAAATTATCACTCTCTTAATATTATGATGCTTATAATTATTTACAGAAACATGTAATTTCAAGATCTGTAATGTAAATCTATATCTAAGCGGATTACACTTAGCAAATCTTTACACAATTCCTATTTTTCGATACAAATGACAGAAAAACTAGGTACGAGTACAAGAATTTGACTAATCTAAAGGAAATCTAGTTGGCACCTGGAGATTTACGATAAAGTAAAACTATACATTTAAACTAAGCCTCTTAGTAGAGAACACTGAAACAACTAGGTTCATGTACCTATTCACATTTATGGAAATCTTACCTCCAATATTTCACTGCTTTGCCTGTATTGTTTAAATCATTTTCTTTTTTTAATGTTTTTGTGGGGCTAAAATTTAAATTGAGCCTCATGGTGTCTCGTCTTTGGATCCAAATCTTAAATTAAGCAATCGGACGCTTCTTTTTTCGGACTGCTTGGTATGTACTTAGAAATGCGGGTACTTAACAGATTAAGTAAGAAGGTAAAAAGGAGGGTACCTACCTAGAAAGTTAGCAATATCATACCTTTCAATTCATTTACGACTATAAAGTCGTCGCTAGTCAAAGTACTTTAATTAAACCAATTACGGAATAATTGGATGAACGATGAGCAATTCCGTGCAAAGGACCACAAACGAATGATGCTTGCCTTTACACACAGGTGTTGACTTACGCCCACACCACAATTTGCAGATATTTGACGCACACTAATGCTATTGTTTTGGTATGTATGTATGTCATGTACAAGCGCGGGCGCATTCGTGTTGTATGCATTTACGAGAAGTTACCGACAACTCAGTCATACATACTCAGTCGTACGATTACGCGATCGGCGCGGACGCAACGCTTTACCTCAAGGTAATGCTGGGATAACACAAGGTCCATCTAATACGTTCTCTTGTTGATAAATAAAAGTGAAAGTTTGATTAACAGGCGAGATAAGCATTCAACTTGACTTAACAATCGGCAATAAATTTGCTTTCAATATAATAAAAACGTAACGTTCAATTCACCTCAAGTAAGTGAAGAATTTGGCGCGAACTCCGACACAGTCGGAACGGTTTCACTTTATCATCACTGTCACTTTCACAGCACAGTCAAAGGGTACTTGCGTACTCTGGGTCGCTTTGAATGGTGTGTTCATTCAATATTGTTGTTTGCGTTCGTTTCCGCGGTCGAGTGCAGGTCGCACGGAGGAGCGGAGGCAACTGGTTTGTTTGCCGAGGTGGGCACTGGGCACGCACGGCGCCCCTCCATTCTCCCAGCCCATGCCATAAGAACGCGAAGGCTTTGCTGACATGTTTATGCGTCCAACTGGGTCAGGCAAGTGTTTGTAGTAAGTATATGTAAGTACGCGGACTATGGCATCAGGCTCGCCCAACGATAACTTGATTTCGTGTTATGGTTATTAGGAAAACCTCATAACACACTTTCATATTGTTACGGAAATAATTTTCTCTCCTTCTTTTTTAATCAAGGTAAATCACTTTTTTAAACATAATATATCTCAAAGAAATCATATTCGTTATACAGGGTGTTTCTTGTAAGGTGTCAAGCCGAAGGCAGGTGATAGGTGAGGACTAGACCTATCGATTTCACCCCCATGTATGTTCTACGATTTTTCGTAGTTTAGATGTTATCGTTAATTTTGTGATTTTTTCAAATTTCATGACCTAGTGGCTTAATTTCTTTTTTATCTTTTTTTTGGGTTGACTTTTCTCAGATTTCTTTTTTTTTTGACAGATTGCCTATTAGTTGCAGATATTTTAAAAAAATAATCACCTTCCTTTTTTTGATGCAAGATACAAAATTTTTGCTAGAAACATAAAAAATATGCTTTTAGCAGAACATTCTAAAATTTTCAACTGAAATGTATGAGAAAAAAAAAAAAAAAAAATTAAGCCACTAGGTCATGAAATTTGAAAAAATCACAAAATTAACGATAACTTCTAAACTACGAAAAATCGTAGAACATACATGGGAGTGAAATCGATAGGTCTAGTCCTCACCTATCACCTGCCTTCGGCTTGACACCTTACAAGAAACACCCTGTATATCGTTCACTATACAGTGTGAGTCACGTTAAAGTGTACATATGAAAATAGATGAAACTAGACCTATTTTTATCGACAAAAAAGAGGTCAAAAAATTTTTGAGATTGTGATAGATAGATTTTGCGATTTTTAATATTACGAAGGTAACACGATAGAAAATAATACAAAGTGATAAAAATTACCGGTTATAGGGGCATTTTTTGGAGAAATTTATCAAATAACCAAAAAAACACGAATTTAAAAGCAGATTTTTTTCAAAAAGTATCATTTTTTATTATTTGTTGGCCTTTTTTGTGTATTTTATGTATTTTTTTTAGTATTGACTGTTATTTAGCATTATTACTGTTTTTATTTTATCAGGATATACCGCTTAGATTAAAAGTTATTACGTTTTCTTTACAATAAGTAATTGGAAGAAAAAAATTCTATAAAAAATTTAAAAAAAATCTCAAAAATTTTTTGACCTCTTTTTTGTCGATAAAAATAGGTCTAGTTTCATCTATTTTCATATGTACACTTTAACGTGACTCACACTGTATATTTCACTTAAAAGTCCCAGGTTTAATTCTCAGCTAACATATTTCTCATGTATTCTGTGGCGACACTTTTGTAAAAGCCCTCCCTAAACCTATGTGAAGTTAATACATTATTTGTTTAGTTGAGTAATAAACTTATTGATAGATTAGAAAACTACCAACATACATACATCAGGATCACAATAGGTAGGTACTAATTCAAAAACATGAAACTCAGTAGTTTGTAATCACGATGCACCACATCCGGGATGGATAAACTTATTGCATACAAAATAAAAGATTAACACCAGAAATGTTCTTAGCACCTCCTTACATTAAAATTTCAACATAACGTTAATTTCCTCATCAATATAAAGCCAAAAGTGAATTCTATAACCTACTTAAGATACTTTCTTGAGACAGAATATTTCAAATACTTACCCAAGAAAAATTTTGCTATTGCCTTGTTTGGGAAAAAATATAACAACCAGCTTATAACACAAATAAAAACTTACCCGATACTTATTACTTAAACCAGATAACCTTATACACAAATATTGTGTATAAGGTTATCTGGTCCTACCGTTTTCTATCCCATCCCATAAATTAAGATGGTCTATAGTTACAAATAAATCAAAGCTTTCGTCTACGTCTTTAATTATCAAAATCTGTTCAGCAGATTATGTAAAAGCAACTATTGTGTACACGATAATCACGATGGTTGTAAAGTAAAAATAAAGAGAAATATAAACAAAAGGTGTTGAAGTGCAGTCTCAAGGATTTTAAAAATTTTGAAAATAAAAACCGAAAGTAATACAATTTTTTTATTAGCTTTTTGTTAATAAATGGTTATTTCAAATCAACAAAACCTGTATAAACATATCGAATGTTTCCCGTTAGTGGTGAGCAATGCAATGTTGATTGTTGATTATGTACTAAGTGATATTGGAATTGAGCTTTGGTTCGACAACAAAGTCCTGTTACAGCTGCCTTATACTAGAATGTCGCATTCACTACTTGTCTGGAATACAAGTCACTAATTATAATAATCGCTACAATTCAACAGGTGGCGCGAAGATATAAACAAATCCATTAAGATTTACAGTATTGCACAAATTCTCGTAAAATAGTAATCTCGCAAAGTATCAGCTGACTCAATCAAATTAACTCTTAAGATCAAAGCAGATAGAATACATTTCCTGGTGCAAACATATAACTTATCAATGTTTTATTGTCGAACATAGGCTATCATATACAAACGTTTTCCATAAAATAGTCTACAAAATAGCACTTGATTATTGATTAAAATTATGTACCTTGTGTCTAGCTAGGAAAACAACAATAACTTACAAGTAGCGAATGCGTCTTATAAAACAATTATCTATATTATATTATCCATCGGTAAGTATTAAACGTAGACATCTTTATAGACACTTAGTAGTTTAAAACACGTTCATCGATTTCGAGTTTAGACATTTATAATATCTCAATAATAATTACACAGCAGTAGTAAAAACAGATATTTGCAAACAATATTTCAATATAAAACTGAAAATATAATCAATATATTACAAGTTTTCGCTAAAAATACAACAAAATACACTTATTACATGCTATTCGCTAATCGGTTCGGGTTATATAGACAATAAATTAATTCTATCCGTTGATGAGATACAACTTTTATAATAAATTTCCCTAGAATTGAAACATTAAGAATGCTTTGACTGCGGCCAAGCGGCCAGCGAGGCTGCAGGAACATTCGGCCGGCGGACTCATTCGGCATCGGGCTCGCTTTGTATGTACCAACCAAGTATGGCGCAATATTTGGCAAATATTGTCACAGCATTTCTTTATGTAGCCCAGAAGACGATGTCTGTGCAATTCACAACATTTATTATAGTTCCTGTATCTAATTGATTACTATTTCTAATGTGTATATTTTTATAGTATAAATGAAACAAGCTAACGCCCGAATATTCATAAGTTATCTTACAACCATAAAACAGATGATCTACGAAATCAACCATAGACATAACATAATAAATATTGATACTAAAAGAACGATGAGTTTAATCAGGTGAATGTTTAAGTGCTCATTTTTACAATAACAAAATAAACAAAAATCTGATATCAATTTTGTGGCAGTAACACAAATAGATCTCCTTGCAAAAATTCATAATCTAATTAGGCTTAACTAACTTACAACAGGATAACGGAGCAGCGCTGTGGCGCCCGCACTTGCTTGCGCCTACTTATCACAATTAAAATGCTATTTTTCATCAAATATCGAGGTTTTATGGCTTTTGTTAGTCATTTTAATAGATATTCATTAATTAGTTTGAATGAAAAGCTAATTTTCATAAACCAAAACCTCTCTGCATGACAAAGTTCGCTCAATCCAAGATTGAAAATATGAAACCTAACATTTTAACTTTCGGCACTCGCTAGGACATTTACCATTAAAAACAGTTCATGTTCACTTCGCGATCGGAACTATTATATCCTCCGAGGCGTTTCAAATAATTACACAAAAGTTATCATATACAATAGGCCTCGAACGCTTAGCAGTCGGACTTGTGATGCACATTGTGTGTTGCTATTCTTACTTCGACGAGTGGCTTTCCTTTGATAGCAAAACAATTCATTCGTATTAATTCGGTATTTATTATCAAACAAATAAGGTCCTTCTGTATCGGACATAAGTTTACGTCACTTCATCAGGATCAGATGATACACACCTGTGTAGTGGCCTAATGAACAATACAAATCACCAAAATTAAATATACACAAAATATTCCGCAAAAATGTCCATATGCTAAATAATCACATCATCGATATAGGAAAGCCACACGACGTCTCGTAGTACGTACTCGCCGTGAAGGTGTAACACAATATTACACTATATTCACGGACCGCATACGAACAAGGCTACTCACTAACGCAGTCTCCGGATTCTTCTTTGCAAACCTGTACCGTACTGTACTGATCACACCAGCACTCGACCGGCGAAGACGGGCACGAAGAATACGGACACGGTACAAACGAGTAGCCGAACTCGTCGGCGACGAGACAGTAGAACGCGTCACAACACAGACAATACACACAAGTCCCGAGGGCCGGATGCTAGAGCCCGTCCAGATCGTGGTCGAAGTGATGGTAAAGCCTGGTCCGTGAGCACGTACAATTTTGTCCAATGACCCCAAGCTACCCATCCTTATCGCTCGCGCGTAATTATGTTGCTGTCGCGCTCGCACACTCACTGCGGGCGCGCGTCGCACAGTCGCGACAGCAATATAATTACGCGCGATCGATAAGGATGGGTAGCTTGGGGTCATTGGACGGGATACTACGTGCACACGGAGCAGGCTTTAGTAGGTCGGGGCGTGGTCGGGGCGTGTGGCGGGCGCGGGGCGTCAGCTGGCGGCGGCGCGGGCCGGCGCCGCGGCGCAGCACTAGGGCCGACGCCCCGCGAACACGCCGGCGCCGCGCGCCAGGTAACCCAGCCCGTTGCTGCCGATCCCTGGAACCATTTCTGAAGTTGTGTTCGTGTATCAATCACCTTTGTTCAGTGTTCCTCTAATGATTTTAGTCCTTATTATAATGGTCGTTTATTATAATGCTCAACTCAGTTTGTGCCTGAAATATGGGAGGGGTGACACTGACATATTATGA